ACTCACAAGAAGAAGAAGAATTTATTTGACGATTTTTGATTTATATCACGAATTTATTTGTTTTATTATTGTTAGTAGTTATTCAGTGAAAAATGAGTATCAGTCATGCTGTTACGCTTTAAGATTTTATACTATAGCACATTTCTAATAGGTTTAACGAATTACATGTCATTTATTTTAATGACTAAGTATTTACTAAAAAGATGAATTTTTTTTTTTGAAGTTGTAATATGGATTTGAATGATTGTTTTGAATTCTTAGAATTTTGTGCATTTGCAATGTACGTAAGCTAGTAGCGAACGAAGCGAGCTTGGTTTGCGAAGCAAACCATATAAGATTGCGCAGCAATTTTCTGGGGTTGGTGAGCAGGGGGTGCAGCCCACTAGTTGTATTTATTTCTCATCAATAATCCGATCTTTTTTCTAAAATATTTTAATTATTTTCATGAAATTGTTTAAGTTAATTGCTAAAGAAGAAAAAAAAGCAATATATTGAATAATTTTTTTTTCTCTTTATATTCACAATTACTAATGAACTTTATGAAATCGGGGTTTATCCAAACGATGATTGATCATTTAAGGTTCCATATCCAAAAAATAATATGAACCTGCTGACTTGCTATCAACAGCCCAGTGGTCAGAAGTAGTGCGTTACAAATAGAGAAACTGCTGTAGTCCTTACTTTTTTCCGTCGTTTGTAATGTAGTGAGCTACTTTTTTAACCTTNTTCCTGGAAACTGCTTTCAACGTTAGTTAAAAAAAAAAAGTACAAACGCAAAGTGTGATACAAAAAACTGTAGTTTGTAGCGATTCCTGGAAACTGCTTTCAACGTTAGTTAAAAAAGAAAAGTACAAACGCAAAGTGTGATACAAAAAACTGTAGTTTGTAGCGATTCCTGGAAACTGCTTTCAACGTTAGTTAAAAAAAAAATTACAAACGCAAAGAAAAAAAAAATCGAATCTGAGTGATATAAATCCGTTGCGAGCCCGTCAACGTAAGCAATGAGAATGCCTCTGTAGCCGAGTGTTAATAAGATCTACGTCTGTTTTTCGGAAAAATTGGTGTGAAATCATTCGAGCTGTTAATGAAAAATCGAATTTCAAATATCCGACTTTTTTTAAATTCAACGATTCGACTTTTCGACTTTTTTTAATTTTTTAAAATTTCTCAGGAACTATAAAGTACGTTTTTGTGTCTGATTTTGAAACTTGAAACATCGCCTGCATTAATTAATTAGCATATTTACGATCACCCCCCTCAAACCATTAAGATTGAGTCCTAGATCGTAAACATCCGATTATTAGATCAAAAGTTATTCAGAGTGGTTCATTTTTTTTTCCTTTCCACACTGACTTCATTTCTTGAAGGATATAAAAAAGCATTGATCACTTAAATCACAAATATTTGATAATTTTCTAGCATTTCTTAAAACACTGTCGAGAAAAACATTGAGCTTGAAAGTTACGTAAACATGAATTAAAACTTCTTAATATCTCCTTATATTTAACCAAGTCAATTTTTTATTCCAAATCATTTTGAATATTGGTCAAAATTGAGTTCTCCAGTTAAGTTTGTCTTCTAAAAGTTGCAAAGTGTGATTACATTTCGAAAGTAGTTCGTAGTTGCTACATTTTAAAAAAGTAATTGTAGTTTACTACACTTGTAATAAAGTAGTTGTAGTTAATGACAAATAAAATGCAGTTTTTTCCGACCACTGCAACAGCCAATCCAGCTAAAGTTTTAAAATTTGCGGTAATATAATCAATTTTTATTATAACACTTTTCTGGAAAACTTCAAACTTTAAGATATTACGGTGATGTCGAGTTTTCTCCCATTGTATAAAAGAAATACTCAAAATTCACGAATTTTTCTACGCATTTCACGAAACCATTTCTTAAAAATTGTCTCGCGTTAAAATTTTGGTAAATGGTGGGAATTAATAATGAATTCGTTTGTTTAGGGTTACGAATTTCGTCAAGAACATTAGTCATCAATACAATAGCTAAATACTAATAAAAGATTAAGAAATACTACGTAAAATAAAAAAGATAATGAGTACTGATTCATTGCCGGAAATCGAACACGGGAAATCTGCTTGACAGGTGACAGCACTATTCTCTGTACCATCCCGTTATGCCGTGAGAGTAATTTTAAAATTTAAAAAGAAAAATGCTCCAAGAAAGCACAGAGAAGATCCGCAAGTGAGGAATCATTAAAGAGAGTTCATATTTCGTAAAAAATTGGGTGATTTCATGACGAAATGATTCTCAAAAATGACAATCCTGAATAGGAACGGTCATAAAAAGTGAATTTCATTTCTAAGAGTGAAATAATTGTTTAGTAGAAGATTTTGAAGTTATTCAAACGTCAACGAAGAGAAATTAACTATTTCGAAATAATGATTGACGTACTTATAATTTAAATATTTCTTTACTGATACTAGTTTAAACTCATTAAATTTCTTTATATTTTAATCAGAAATATATTCATCTAAAACTATTATTTAATTTGTCCATTCGTTGTCGTTAGATATTGTTTCAAATTGTTTTAATTTACATTTAAAGGTACTTTTATGGGTTAAAAATTATGTTATAGCGAAAGTTTGTAAGATGCGTTAAACTTAAAGACTGATTTTAAATGCATGCGGTAGTAAAATCACAAAAAATATATATATACTCAAATTCATGTAACTTTTTTACAACCATCACTTTTCATAATATTGCTCACATATAGAAACAAGCCTAATATTTGGGCTTAAAACTGAAATGACTTAGAGTTTAAAAACTACCTCGAAATTGTTTCCTAGTTTTAAAGTCAATCTATGTTAGAAATGAGTAAGTTTTGGGTGAGTTTCAGAGTGAGTTTTAAAACCATTCTTGTAAGAAAATGGTTTTTAATACACTCCGCATGTCAGAAGTGAACAGATTATAGATATACGCAATAATATTCGTTTTACAATAATTAAAATAGATTTACAATTAGATTACAATAGATTACAATTTCGTTTTACAATAATTAAAATAGATTTACGTTTAGTACGAATCCCTTAGATAGAAAAAGATCCACGGAGAAGAAAAAGAATTCTGGTATGATTACCGTATTGTAATGACATTTCTAATTTTAAGAAAAATGTGCATAATTCTGGCTAATAAAACTGAAATGTAAGGTATTTGGTAATTTTTCATATGGTAATAGTTTACCGGAAATTCCGGTTTATAAAATTATAGTTCTTATTATCACACATTTAGAAGAAAAAAAATCGAAAAGCAAATATGACCATAAAAATGGTTTTTATGCATTACTCTAAGGCAGTGTTTCCCAACCTTTTTATCATCGCGGACCTGTCAACGTTTAATAATTTTACCACGGCCCGCTGAGGGGGGCGTTNATTGCTCTAAGGTATCAGGATAAAATTACCAAGTTTTATAACATTTTATCACATTTACCAAACTTTATCCCATATTATAAAACCATATTTTATTTCTAATTTTAGCAAAAGCATAGCGTTTCCGTAAAAATTAGCAAGATTTTTGGTGTTCCTATAGAGCCAAAAATCATGGTACATTTTACTACATTTTGTTATTGAACAAATCGCCAAATTAAAAAAAAATTACTATCTTCATTAAATTGAGAATAGTGATTTCCTCAAAAGCATTATGATTAATGAAACATATCGATTAACGCAATTCATTAATTTAAATAAAAAGTTTGTGAGTGAATGAGTATTAAATCATTGGAAAAAATCGAACCCCTGGAAGCTCACCGAAGCCCGCAAGTGAGAGTACCAACCCCTGTACCACCGCACCAAGATCAGATTTAAAAAAATTACCGGAAAACTTCTAGAATTCACGCAGACTGCACACAAGTGAGGAATAATTTCATCTAAGATTTATGTGTATGCTGTTCTTTGAGAATCACGCATTGAAAAATTGCAAATACTGCTTAGAAATTGCTGTTGTTGTTGACGTATGCCTGTTCAGGCAGAGAGGGTGCCATCTATGGCCAAGAATTCGACTTCTGCCACACCATACGTTGCACCCGTTTATAGGGCGAACCCATTCACACATCCATTCATTCCTCCACAAATCGTAATTTTGACCTGAATCAGAGAACGATCGATCTCCAATCCAGTACCCCCAGAGGTATTGATTTGTTATGGGAACATGGAGGACTTTTGCGACTCGGCAGACTTAACATGCATCAGTCACTTTACTACACGGGGATCTTCGGCCGGCGGTGTTGGAACCCACGAACTCTCGGACATGGGCCCAGCGCCCTACCGACCAGGCTATCCCGGCACCTTAGAAATTGCTGAATCGTCGAAAACGATAGTTTTATTTCTAAGAATGCATATGATATTCCATAAAAAAGAAAGTTATCCTTTTGCTGTATTATAACAACACCGAAAAAAAAGTGTAAAATGCAAACAAATAAAAAAAAATGCATGCGTACTTGTTATGCTGTGATCCAACGTTTCTAATAATTATTAATACTTGCCTTTGTAGGACAGTACAATTATCAGCAAATCCGAAATTGACATTACAAAACCAATTTTAGAGAAGAAAAAAGGTTTATCACTATGTTTGGCATCTGTTTTCATAGTCGGTGAAATGGCCGGAAGCGGAGTACTTGCATTGCCAAGAGCAGTTGCGGATGCTGGTAAGTTTAATTCACTAGGGAGATTTCGCCATTAGCTTCCGTACCCTCCCGCACGTTAGATTTCAAGTAATTGGGCATGCGCACTTCTGGTGCACATGCGTCAGATCTAGTGAAATGCGCATTCGCCCGTGAAAAAATATCAAACTTGCGTAAGTGAAAATGACGTAAGTGAATTTTGCAAAAATCCGTAAGTTAAGAAGGCGAACGTAGTGGAATGCCATTTTAACTTTGACCACAAAATCAAAAGACACATTTAGAAGGGTTGTTGTTATGGTTGTTGTTAATTTACGTCGCACTAGAGCTGCACAATGGGCTATTGGCGACGGTCTGGGAAACATCCCGGAGGATGATCCGAAGACATGCCATCACAATTTTGATCCTCTGCAGAGGGGATGGCGCCTCCGCTTCGGTAGCCCAACGACCTGCACCCATTTACAAGGGATGTAGGCTATTTCTTTAAAGCTGTGTGCATACGATTCAAGATGCTTTGCTTTACGTAAAACTGCGGATCTGAGAGCAGAAAAATTTGGTAGATTAAAGATTTTAATGAATTCAGCGATAAGGAATGCAGCTTATTATGATTTTAAAAGAATATTATTGAACTTTTATTGATTATTTAACTTATTTAACTAAATTATGTGAAGTAAATATAATTTTAAAATAGCGAAAATATATCTAGTTTCTTATGGAGCTAGTGCAATTAGACAACCATAATGTTTAACGAAAACTAATAAAATTATTTTTTTATTGAATGATCCAATGGTTGTAAGATCAATTATAAACTTCATCAATGCATTTCTTCAAATGCGCATTCCATGTCCATGTTTTTAGTTCGAAGGCAGGCTTAAACTGAAAACAACATTTAACAGTTATAAACAGCGCGCTTGTAGCTTTGTCTTTGTTCGCGCTAGAGCCTTAGTCCACGTCAACATAACGTCAAAGTACTAAAACCAAAGTCAAAGTACTAACGTCAAAGTACGTAGTATCTAAAATAAACCCAAACATGCGCAGTTGTTTCAATCTTACGTACGGGAGCGTGCGTAAAAGTAACGTAAAATTGCGAAATCTCCCCATTGTAAACAGGTTTTACCATAAGTAATTTTTAATATTTCTATATGATTAAGCTAAAAAGAATAATTTGAGCACAGAGCTATTTTGAAACTCGTTCATCAGAGCCAAAATATCTACTTTCTATTTTTGTCAATGAGCTTTTTTTATATAGCAGTGAAATGGTTGTCTGCATTTTCAAATTGTATTCTATTTCCATAATTTTATACGTAAAGTTGCTATTTACAGTGTCTGCTAAATAACTGTATGACGTTTTAGTATAAAATATATAAGTAACTTGGTAAACATATCTTGCAGAAAAGTAAATTGAATGCGAATGACGCTCTCTCAAACGTCATTCAGCTCGTCTTCACCTCATCGTTGAGCAAGAGTCAATGTCTTCTCAAGGACATGGTGAACAACTGATAAGAGATGGACCTACAAAAATAAATAGTTGTATTTTATTTCGAAGTGGCTGGGTGGCGCAGTTGTTTCTCGTCGGCCTTCTGAGCCCAAATCTGCGGGTTCAATCCCCGGCCCAGACACCGGATTTTTGGGATGCAGAAAATCCTCAACGGCCATGTCGTATGATTATGCGGCCTGTAAAAGATCCCTGGAGTGCCTTATTGACTCTTGGCGTTTCAGGCAAAATTAAATTCATAGTGCACTTTAGCATCTAAATAGAGTCTCGGTGCTGCCATCTAGTGTGGCAGAAACTAGACGTCCAAATTAACACGACCAACGGTATCTCACCCATTGTGGTGGTCCTGAAAGAGTGGATACCACCTCTGGAGAACGCACTAGGTCTGCTCATCGGCAAGACCGATTGTGCAGCTCATTGGAAATAAAAAAAAATTATTTCAAAACAATTCTATTTAAAATTTCAACTTCTGTTGTGAAAAATTCGACACAAAAAAAACTATGGTGGTGAAAAAATTATTTTCTTCAAAAACTTTTGTTATATAGGGGAGAGTTGGATAAAACGGGATACCATTATTGTTTTTATTTACTACGGAATATCTGTTAAAGAAAACCATACATTATTTTTTTTGTAGCTACAACATTTATTGAAGCACACAAAAAACGTATTTTAAACTAATTTTAATGACTGTGAAATAGAAAAAAAAATTAATTTCCAAACTCTTACATATCCCGTTTTAGCATACCTGGGTTGGATAAAACGGGATAGGGTTTACAATGTTTAATTTTTTGCATATATATAAATCTAAAATTATAAATAATGCAAATATATAAATAATATTGTTTATATATAAAAAAGCTCAAGTCTTCATCAAAGAAATACATTACAATTAGTTCTAAAGAAAGATGTGAAATCCTAGAGTCGAAAATAAAAAGCTTAATAATGAACGTTAATAAACAAATTTTGCATTACTATATAAGGAGACTAAATTTTTCAAAAATATGTATAGCTAATATAAATAAGTTGTTTAAAAAGCCTAGGCCTACATTAATATATGGCTATTTTAAAATGTAATAATCCAACAAATAGGTGGATAAAACGGGACATAAAAAACTCTATCCCGTTTTATCCAACTCACAAGTGTCCCGTTTTGTCCGACTCCGACACTTTTTGAGACAAACATGGCTGCTGCCTAAATGTGAAAAGAAAATTAGATAGACTGCACATAAAAATATTGGTAAATAAATGGTTAATTAAATTCAATACTCACCGGAATTTTATTCCCATATATATAGGCAGTACAATGTAAAAAACAACGCACTTAAATGTAGAAAATGGCAAAAAAATAGAGTAAAAAAGTTCTGAAACCTACAACTTTCTATCAAATAGTGATCTCGAGGCGGAACTCACCGAGAATGATATAATCACGGTCAAATAACACGTTTCTGTCGTTTTCCACTAGATAGCTGCAATTGTCTGATCCCTAGGCGACGTATCCCGTTTTGTCCGACTATCCCGTTTTATCCAATTCTCCCCTATCTATATATGTGTCAATTTTTTTAAAAGTCTAACTTTGATGTCAGGTTAACTCTTATTTTCTGACCTTCATGTCGCGTGAATTTTACAGGTTGGAGTGGAATATTTCTCATCATATTTTGTTGTGCTATATCACTATACGCGGGAATCTGCTTAGGAAGGAGTTGGTCTATTTTAGAAGAAAGATATGAAGAATATGCGGTTAAGAATAGGCATCCCTATGCAGCAATTGCCTACAGAGCCGTAGGGCTTAAAATGAGGTATACAAAAAAAATATATTTTTTATTAAATGGATTGTATACTATTTCATAGCCATATATACTATTTCATATACTATTTCATAGCTATAGTCTGAACTTTTCTTTGCTTTTTGTTATGCTTTTACTCGTGAAATTTAGAGTCTGAAATTTTGGACATGGTTTTATTAAAAACAATCCGTCAGTGCATTAAGTGTAACACATGTAAACGTATTTGAAAAGCTCAGACGATAATGGATCCAAACGATATTTTCAACAGCAAAAAATCTATTTCTTAGTATAAGACTTGATTTTAATCTCCTTTAGTAATAATTTGTTTTACCGAGTTTTTTAATTTCATAGATCTCAGGAAATGAAGGTGGCAATCTTTGAGTTTTTCTTTCAGAAGATTCCAATTGTACGTTTAATTTACGAAGCACACTTAATAAACAAATTTATATTATTAATTACGAATATTAAAGACTATTAAGAACATATAATGAGAACTTTTGATGTTTCGCTTGAAGTTCCTGATATAGAAATGATCACTATCATCATTTAAGCAATGATGATAGTTTATATTGATTTATAACAATCATAAACTTATTAATAATTTGAGTATCTTCGATTCCTATATTGCTACTTACTGATCAAGAATTTCAAATCATTCCTTTTTACTTTGGAATGACATAAAATCGAATGTATGGCAACAGGAAAGTGTAATCGATAAATACTGATCAAACCTTCTTACGATAGGTAAGACGAATTAGCTTCATGACAATCGATTGAACTATATATTATTGTTTGATATTTGATATCGACGGAACAAACGTGGTTTAAAATAAATTATTCATTGTTCCCAATTTTTAAGCGATTGAGTGTTCAGAACTCTTGCGTGGCTAATAACATATTTTTTTCTCATCACTCTATTCAGGAAATTACGTCATAATTTATAAGCGTTATGGAAGCAGGGGAGCCATCCCCTCTGCCGAGGATCAAAATTGCGATGGCATGTCTGCGGACCAGGATGTCCTCAGGGATGTTTCCCAGACCATCACCATTAGCCCATCGTGTAGCTAGTGTGACGTAAATTAAATACCTAACTTATCAATTCTGAAACTGATTTTCGTATGATAAAGCAAAACAATCAAATTGTAATAAATTTGGAATTTGAAAGTTCGGTGGATCAATAGATGGAAAAATAATATTAGAAGGTAAACCATAATCTGCAGAGTAGATTTAAAGCAAAGGAGCTGTTCGTTGAAGAGTGAACTACTTGAGCAAATTTTAGAAGCATGGTAAATAAGTGCACAACGATGTTTTGGTTCAGGGAATAGGATGAAAGTTTATAACAGGGGGGAAAAACCCGCAAATGGTTTCGGGTAAACAGTAAAAATGCAGATGGCGCTGGTGGACAAAATTCACCGTAAGACTTCGGGGTTGCTATTTCCGACTGAATTTTACTCATAAGCTTGAAAGAACGCGCCATCCAATATTATTATACTTGTAGTACTTTCAATATAACGCATTCTTTCAATTTAACCTTCAACGAAACCAACAACAAATGAATTCGGAAGACTCCGCAAGCTTGTTGTGATGCTACCCAAAAAATAAGAAACGGTGCTATTTTACACAAATATAGCCAAATAAGGGATAACACTCAAAGCATGGCAAACCTTATACTTTATTTATGCTGTGATATTAAGTTTGTTAAATTTCTTTTAGTGTCAAGATTTATAAATTACGGAAAACTCTTATGAATGGTAAAATGATGCGTAAATGTAAACACAAATCACAATAAGAAAACAGGTACTAGAATATCAAGCCTGTTCACACGTCGCCTCGTAAGCATAAAATAAGTGGAGGGATACACCGGAAGTTTTCTAAATTTCTTCCGGTTTTAGGAAGCTCATTTCTGCACTTTATGTGTGATTTTTTTTCTTTTGCTTTAGTCTATATATCATAAAGTATGCCCAACCCTTCTCTGAAAACTTATATCGATAAAAAAATATACTTGAGTGTGCCCCTTGGTGAAATTGGCGACTTATGTTTGGCGCCATTCCTGTTTGCGCGAAACTCCATAGTAACAGGAATGGTGACCAAAGCATAATTATATTTCAATAAAACATTGGAAAACTTCAACAGAACATCGGGGGCCGGGATAGCCTGGTCGGTAGGGCGCTGGGCCCATATCCAAGAGGTCGTGGGTTCGATCCAGGCCGGCCGAAGACTCCCCGTGTAGTAAATGGTGACTGATGCACGTTAAATCTGTCGCGTCTCAAAGTCCTCCATGTTCCCACAGCAAATCAATACCTCTGGGGGTACTGATCCAGGAGTTTCCTTGTCTTCTGGATTGGTTCAAAATTACAAGGCTACGGAGTTGAACGTAAGTAGTCGTAAACCCATGAATTTGGGTCGGCTGTTCAACGACGGTTATAAAATAAAATAAAAAAAAACAAAACATCGGCCAAAACTTTATAAAATTGCAATGAACCCAATATAAGCAAAACTAATAAACCCAACAAAATGCATTTTGAATCGAAACAAAAATTAATGGAGTAAAGCGCAGAAAGAAAAGGAAAAAAAACTAACTTCTTCATTCAGCTTGAATATCCTCCGATTTAGGTGCACAGAATTCTCAAATAGCAGTTTGATACTGTCTAAATTTACCATGAATAGAATCTGTGTACTTCCATCGCCACATAAATTCGGCGAAATACGAATCGAAAATGGCGTCTGTGGCACCAGACTGAAGGCGAAATTTCTTTTCCAAAATCCCTTTTCATGACAGCCCACATACCTTCGATCTTATTGACAAGAAGGAAAAGTAACCTTCAACGTAGAACTAACGGACCTCTGATATTACATATATCGTTGAACACTTAAAAATAACGCTAAAATCTAAACCAATCAGAATCACGATAGGGTTTCAACATCGCCCAGCTTGGCGATCAACCGTGATCACAACTTGGCGAGAATCAAGGGGCACCCTCAAATATAGTCTACCCCTTTTATCATCTTTAAAAATTACCCATAAGTCTTTTGAAAATGATGCGCTCTATGTTTCTCATTTTAGGTGTGACAAAAATAGAATTTAGCACGTTTAAAAAACGTAGTTCCTAAACATTTTGATTTTATTTTCGAAATTCTTCTTTTCAGTTACTTTGTGTCATTCTGTATAGATGTCAATCTTCTTGGTGTTGGAATCGTTTTCCTCCTTTTGTCAGCCCAACTCATAAGCAGCCTCGCCTCCAATTGGGGCATATCATTCTGTTACTGGGTCTTGATATTGGGTGCTATCTTATGTCCTCTCATGTGGCTCGGAACACCTGAAGACTTTTGGTGAGGTAAATTTCAGTTAACTTAAATAGGTTGTTTTTTATATATATATTTAAAAAAAATAATGATGTTAAATGTACGAAAATTATTCCAACATTTTAAGATTCAGTTCAGTTAAAGTTTTTTTGTTGAAATAGTTCTTTAAAGAATCAACGCTCTTTTGTAAGCATTTTTTTAAAAATATTTTGAAATTGAGGCTATACTTTTTTTTTTAAATTAGTTACGTTTTTTGTGACCTTATACATTAAAGATCAATTTTAAAAAAGTGCAATCAAGTGGTTCTGCCAATGTTTAAACCGAGTAACTGAAGGAACATCATTGACTGTAAAAATGATAGTGCAAAGATTCAGCGATCGAAATTCCAATTGATATACGAAAATAATAGAATTAATTATAACTAAAAAAATAATTAAAAAAGAAAAGTGAAAGGTGTAAAGATAACTCATAAGTTATAAAATTTTTTCAATCTCCTTTACCTCTTTAAGCAACTCTAAAGGGAAAAAAACACTACTCGTCACAAAATTATACTATCTTAAATTTGGGTGTAATTTTCTTTTTCAATTTACACTCGCATCATAATAATAGTATTGGCAAATTTTCATCGAATTTATTGAAATTTGAAATGATTAGGTAAGGTAATTTGAACTTTAGTTCACTTGACGCAGGATAACGAATAAATTACAAGTCTAAAATGTATTTTTCCATTTCGCAGGTGAAATTCGGATATTTTATTTATTTATTCCTTCAACAAAAAAAAAATATCCATTACCTATAAAAATCTTTCTATAGATAAAAATCTTATAATAGTGTAGCAGTTTTCCATTGTTGTTGATACATTTTATTAGCCGGAAAATCACATGGTGGGATCCAGTATTCCCACATTTATTTTCATATTGGTTTGGTTGTCATCAGCATAAAATTGATAGAAGTCATGAAATAATTGTTTTCCTATAAATACTTTTGCATCCCTAATTTAAAGGTATTTACCTGTGCTGTTATTATTACGTTTTTAATTTGTTTCTTTTCTAAATTTAGAGTTTAAGAGGATTGTTTTTATTATTATTATTGTTAGAATAACGTAATTCTACAGCTAATTTTGAAGACAAAGTTATTTAAATCGTTTCACCATCTGTCCTAAAAAAAAAAATAAAAAAAAAACGCTACCGGAAGTCTTGAGGTCCTCTTCCGACGTCATAACATTAAAGTGACTATTTCTTTTTTTGACGCTCTGGATTTGTTTGTATATACTCGGAATACTTAGTTTCCTTAATTTAATTTTTGTGCCGTGATTTTGTGAAAAAATGTGTTCTTCATATTTTAAAATATCATATAAAGATATAAAAAAAGTACTTTAGGAAATTATCTTAAATTTATTTGCAATTACAAGATAGTTAATATGCGAATTTACGCAATTTGGTTTGCACCAGCAGAAATTCTTATACCTGAATCTTAAACCGGAAGTTGAAACAACCTCTACAAATACTGCCCCCTACCGTGAAAAACATGAAACGCTGTCGAGAATAAGGTGAATTAACCGTTTTGCAATTATTATTCTTTGTTGCAAATTGGGTATAATATGAAAAAAACACAACTACTTCGATTTAGTAGGAACAACATATGACGCAATGCTAAACGAATGGAATTTAGTTGTTGTTTATTTAGTTATTGTTATTTGTTTTAGTTGTTGTTGTTTATTTAGTTGTATTTTGTTTCAATAACTTTTCTTTATAATGCAATAAAATCTGGCGAGCAGCTATTTAAACGATCGAACACTTCGTTTGTTTATTTGTGGCTTGAAGTTAGGCTCGCAGAAAATGCCGTTCATGGGTTAAATTTAGTAGGAACAACACAACCTGTGACGTAGGCTATATTATACCCAATTACATTACTATTATGAATTACAGTTAAAGAGGTTTGTTAAATGATTTAGAACTTCTTCATGCACAAAGTTGATGAATGCAAAACCTTTATTTAAAATATACATCCGTTCGTTGACAGTGGCTTTAAATCAAGATTTTTAACAAATGTAAAAACGAAAGCCACTCTTTATTATGGAAACTAGTAACAATAGTTGTGATGTTCATTAAAAGTGTTACAATTAGTGATTTTAAATTAATATTATTACGAATTAATTGCTGTTAAATTGCATTTAGATAACTCAGTCCAAAGACTCTTTAAATCAATCTTTTATTATGCATTCACCTCGAATAAAATAGAATGCATTAAAACACAGGTGGAGAAAATCTTACAACTTCTTCAGAAATTAATTCCATAGAATGAGACAGACGAAATTAGTGAATTGTATTCTTAAAACTCACTTTCTAAGTTGTACTTGAAATTTGATCTCATGTTTTTCTATTCTACATGTGCTTGCTTTTAGTAGTTTACATATATTTTCATCTTATTTTAAGATAAAAATATATGTAAACTCCTAAAAGCAAGCACGTGTAGAATAGATAAGTAGATTGCATACATTTTTATCTTGAGATAAAAATATATATAAACTCCTAAAAGCAAGCACATGTAGAATAGATAAATAGATTACATATATTTTTATCTTATTTTAAGGAGTTTATTATTTTTTTTACATGTGATGTGATTATAACTGTTTATTCATTTTTTTTTTCTTATCCTATGTTAATTTTTTTGAAAACTGTATTTACAACTTAGTTTGGTGAAAGAGCTTTCGACTATGCCAGCCTTCATCTATTAAAAGATACCTCAAGATTGAATCGAGTTAACGTGTCTTATATAATAATGAATTGATGTTTAATAATCGTAGTGGCAGTTACGTCACACTATTGGTGACCTTCGGACGCGATATGACCCCGCCTACTTCGATGGATGGCCCACATTGAACAGTTGACCTGCTATTTGTCACTACGATATCGTCCTCCTTGCGCAGTTGCTTCTCAGTCTCATTTATACACAACGAGATCCTGCAACATACTCGACTGCTAATAGCAACACACGAAAGACCACATACATAACTGTGAACTTAATACAGCTCTCACCCCCCAGAACTCAAAATCCCGTGAACTTAATACAGTTCTCCCAGTCTTTCGCAAATGCAGTAACTAGTGATATCCATTCATCGAATTCTATACCTCATAAAATTCTGGTGGTGGAGTATTGTGGCGTAACTACCACTACGATTATCAAACATCAATTCACTAGCATATAAGACATGCTAACTCGATTCGAGGTACCTTTTGATTGAGGAAGGTTGGGGTAGTCGAAAGCTCATTCCCCACTACATTAAAAAAGTAATAAAATGAAATAAAAATTATGAAAATACGTATTTCATGTAGACAAAAAAAGGATAAAGTAATTTTATTTTTGTCGGAATTAATAAGAAAAACGTGCCTATCTTTTCAAATATCCTTCGAAGTAACTACCAACGAAAATACCGCCCAAAAGTTATTTCGTTTTTAAATCTGACAAAATTAAAATTACTTTCTTTTACTCATTTTGTTAGTTCCTTTATGTCAAAAAGTGGTTGAAATTTTGATTCGATGTAAAAAATCGAATCATTTTGATCGCTTTATTTACGAAGCAATTATAAGCTGTATTGGAAGCTGGTACAGAATTCCAATTTAAATTTGAATACTCTTGCTAAGCAGAAAGCAGAGAGTTCAGTTTTGATCATCGCTGAAGCTAAGTTGACCAGCTGTTCTCAAACCTGCCCACCTTCGAACTTCAATTGTTGTGATTAAAAACTTTCAAATCCCCTCACATTTCCGTGGAAACATCTCATATTTTTCTATGCAGTGAAACAGAAAAGTTTATTATTATACAATTCAACGCGCGCCATTCAATATTTTTCAATTAAGGTATTAATTGAGTTAAAATAGTTAATGAATAAATGAGGTAGTTAGTGAATGAGTGACTGAATTCAAGACGCAAATCTGAGAAAAGGCAAATCAGTGAATCGAAACCAGTACTGGATTACCCACTAGACCATGGCCTGGGTCCCCTTAAAATGAATTTTTTGAAAACAAATTAAGAAAAATTAAGAAAAACAATGATTTTTCAAATTTTTTCAAAATTTTATGATTATTTTTTAGTTCTAATTTGATAAAATAAAGTAAAATTTAATTTATTATTTATTTTAATTTTAAATATGCTTTCTTAAATGAAAAGATACATAAATACTTTTATATTTGAATAAATAAAAAATATACGAGAAAAAAATTTAATCTAAGGACCCCAAAAATTTGAATGGCCTAGGGCCCCGCGTGCGCTTAATCCGCCCCTGATCGACACATAAGTTTGTGAATGAAATTTAAATCCAATGAGTAATACCACAGTCTATGATGGCAAATTTTTTGTCAAGTGTTTTAATTCTATTTTATCTACTTATTATATTTTACTTTTAATTTGATTTTGTTACACTGTAAACATTTGATTAAGAACAAAATATACTTAGAGTATTCTTTGTTTTGTTTTTTGAAGGCCAGCAGCGATTGTTGCTCTCGGCACTACACTCACTGCATGCGTCCTTCTAATCATCATGATATCCAAAGAGTCTGTGAGTGCTCCTCTCCCGGAGTACAAACCCCCGACAATTCTCTCGTTCTTCCTCTCTTATGGCACCATTTTATTTGCCTTTGGTGGAGCTGCTTCCTTTCCCACATTCCAGAATGATATGAAGAACAAACACAAGTTTCCGACAGCTGTATCCATTGGATTTATAGGTAACACACTTTCCTCCATCTTATTTCGTTAAATATCATTTCTTGTCTGTCTGTGCCGCTGCCGAAAGGGATCATTTACTCCTCTCTCGAAGCTTAAAAATATCAAAAATTTTGGCAAGTAATTTGTAATAAAATTAAAAGAATGAATGGATGGTAGACCGTGTGAAGCTAAATACAGATGGCGCTAGAGGTCAAAATTCGTAGTAAGACTTCCGGTTTATAGCTTATAGATTGATTTTTACCCCTAAGTCTGAAAAAGCGTGCCATCCAATAATATTATACTTGTAGTGTTTGCAATATAATGCATTCTTTCATTTTAACTTTCAACGAAACAAACAACAAATGAATTCGGAAGACTCCACAAATTTGTTACAAATATAGCCAAATCAGGGATAACATTCAAAATATGGCTAACCTAACACTTTTTTAGGATGAGATATTAATTTTGTTAAATTTGTTTTATGCTCACGACCTGTTAGAATTTATAAATTACGGAAAGCTCTTATCAATAGTAAAATTTTATGCGTACATTTAAACACAAATCATAATAATGAAACTTACTAGAATAGTCAGCCTGTTTACTCATCGTCCCGTAAGCATAACAAAAGCGATACACCAGACGTTTTCTAAATTTCTCCGGGTTTTAGGAAACTTGTTATTGCTAACATTCAATTAACCATCCACAATAATATGAATGTAAGTGTTTATTTGCCATACATATTTATATTCCAAATAATATGGTTATTAATACTTTCCTGTTCTGAGAAGAAGATATAAAATTGTCTCCGAAATGTATGTACTTTCGAATGAGGGAAAAATCGACAAATTCTCATTCCAACTATTCCGAATGCGAAATTTTCACTATGATTTTTAATATACGTGCTCCCATCGAGCCTTTAATAATAATTCTTGTTTTCGACGAAAAAATCTAAAGATTTTCAGATTGCTCTCCCAATGCAAGGAAAATAGCAGAGTCTAACAAATGGGGCTGAGAAGTCAAAAATCAGAGACACTACTCGCAACAGTACTGTAGTGTATCTACCACTTCAAAAGTACAATTCCAATTCACTAGTATATAAGACATGTTAACTCGATTCTAGGTTGGGGTACCTTTTCATAGATGGATGTTGTTGACGATATGACGCTTCCCACATTGGTGACCCGGTCGTGATGTGAACACGACTTCCTTGACAGAAACTCCCACTTTGATTTGAACACGCCTATTTTGATGGATGGTCCACATTGAATAGTTGACTCACTACTTGCGACTGCGACATTATCCATCTCCTCACGTTTCGATCACACACAACGTTGACCTGTATACACTCGACAGCTGATGACAACACAGGAGCGACCACGACCGTGAACTTAATACAGCTCTCACGACCATCACTCAAAGTCCGGTGATCTTAATACAGCTCTCCTGGCTTCTCTCAAAACAGCATTGAATCAACTAGTGGTATCCGTGCATCGAATTCTGTCGCAGATAAAATTTTGGTGGGGAAGTACTGTTGTGTGTCTACCACTACAAAAATTCAATTCTAATTCACTAGTCTATAAGATATATTAACTCGATTCTATGTTGGGGTACCTCTTTATAGATGAAGGTTGACATTGTCGAAAACTACTACACCCCACTCCTCTATAGAAACCAGTGTTGGTTTAAAACAAAGAGTTTTGAGACCGTGAAAGAGTTTAAAGTTAATCGTCTTCCATGAGTTTCTATAAGGCATTTGTGCTTTTTCTTTTCAAGCACGTTTTTGTTTAAATAACAAAAATGGCATTAATTCATGAATTTTATAGGACTTTTAAAAAAATTCTTTGGGACAAACAAAGTTACCGATTTAAGTTATCCTACTTAATTAGTAAACTTAAAATTTATTGCAGTAGTAGTACTTAATTTACGTCGCACTAGAGCTGCACAGTGGGCTATTGGTGACAGTCTGAGGCTCATACCTGAGGATGATCTGTGGGCATTCCATCACAATTTTTATTCTTAGCAGAAGGGATTATTCCCCACGAACAGCGCGTAAACAGCCGAAAACTTTATAGTAGAACAGTAAGTTTAACGAGCACAAACTTGGTTCTTTTGTAGGCTGACGACCACAGCAAAGTGATGCCCGGTGTGTCTTAACGATTGTCACTGAGGGAGCTTAAAGTTTGTAAAGCACATGCACCCTCCTTCGTCAAAAAACTTAATTTTTGCCAGTTGAACAAAACATCGTTAGGCTATGAATTGACACTTAGTTATTGCTCGAGATGTTGCTTTTACTGAAATCACCAGAAAGAATCATTTCTAACAATCTGCTAACTGTCTAAAAAGCAAATCCTTTTCCATGTCTTCGGTATAGTATTTAAAAAATAATAATTCTCTCTTACAAAGAGACACATCTAAAATCCTTAAAGAAGAATCCCACGAACGCCACTGCCACATTTACTACACTACTTTTTTTCATAGTAAAAATATTAAAATCAATAATTCTATTACAGCTTTAGTGCTCATGTATTTGCCTGTTGCTTCACTTGGCTACCACGTCTACGGAAGTTCTTTATCTGACAACGTCATTCAGTCTCTTCCCAGATCTGTCTTCAAAACAATAGTTGAAGTATTATTAGCATTGCACGTCTTCTTCGCTTTTCTTTTAGTCTGCAATGCGCCTGCTCAAGATTTCGAAGAGTTCCTGAACATTCCAAAGAGTAAAATTATTTTCATACTAATTTTGAACTTTTGAACTTTTATTTTAAATCATATTTTGGATTACTCACATGGATAATGCTATTGGAAAAATAGATTTCTAATAAAACTATTCGAAAACATGAAAACGTATTAAAAAGAGGAAGCCATGAACTTTTTAGAAAGTCACCTTAGTTGGAAGGACATATGTTTACAAACTTCTTTTGTACTTAATGTTTTAAAAAAAAATAATTCATGGTTGCGGTTAATGTTTAAAAGCACAACGAGGAATCTACCATAATGACGAATCTTTCGCATAAGAGTACGAAAGCATTGCGTGCATCTGATGACAATACAAAGTATGGGATTCCTAATATTTTCATACATTTATCTGCTAAGTTTTATTAATTTTTATTTTTTTCAAATAAAAATGTGAAGTCTATTAACGCACTGTTAGTTATTTCAGTTTTCCATGAACTTCCAGCCCTTCTTCCAAGCAGAAAATTAAATTAACCACAACTAAATTGTGCTTAGGTTACAAAGAATAGAACAAACGTTTATACAACAATGATCATAAATACATAAACAATCCCTAACTTAATATCTTTCTCGTTATTCATAGTCACTTATTAACAAAATTTATTCTTTAAGTAAATAATAGCTGTCCTAAATAGGACATATTCCAAAAAGTCTTAATTTAGTAAGAATATAAAAAAATAAGAAAATTAAAATAACCAGAGTTATAGAGCCTTTGTCCACAATTTAAAAATAAATTTTAAAGAGGATGCAGAGGACATTAGACAAAAAATTAGTTTTTGAAAACATGTTTTTTTTTTGGCAATAATTTTACAGCAACTTTATGAACGAGAGTCAACAGTATATAACAATATAGTAACAATATTTTTAAAAGACACAAGACTATAATTAGTTTTAGTAAACGTGTTCTTTGGCAACTTAAATAAGACTATTCTATAGGACTATCCTATAGGATTTCCTATGACTTTCAATTAAATGAGAAATAACTTCCTTGAAGAACATTAGAAGTACTTTGTTAAAAGTATGACCCTCTCAATGAGATGATGATATGTCAAGATCAATGAGAGGATGAGATCAAGGATTGTTTATTTGACTCATGATGACAAACAAGCAGCTAACACTTGGGGTTGGCACAATCAGACTATTAGCAACTTAAACTTCACTAGAGATGACCGGCGGATTTAAATAAAAGCCAGAAATATTGCACACGATTGCCGTAGTAGCTCTTATGGACATAATCCGACAAGGACTTTCTCCCCCAAGAACTTGAAGCTGCTATCTCGAATATCAACAACTCTCCTGCCCCTGATGGTATCCACAGAGAAATGATTAATAATTTCGGCCAAAATAGAAGACAACGGTTGCTGCCCGCTCTTTACGTCCCATATTTCCGGTTTACTGTATCCGGTATATTTTAAGGCCATTTTGTTCAATGTGTTCTCTGTAATAACAGTGAACACAGAAAACAATGAAAAGACAGTAAATAATGAAGGCAGTTTCATGTAGGTATGTAATAATAAACATAAACGGTGAAAAGATAGTAAACATGTGGTTTGATAGGTAATAAAACTTAAAATTAATATTAGAATAAGAACCGTTATAAGACACTTGATACCTTTCCAACAATGCATATTAACTTCGAAATTTAAATCTAAATGGTAGTTTTCAAAATAAATTACTCTAACTAAATATTAACACTAAATCTGCACGGTGCACTGCTTGCAACAAGACCAAATAGTAATAAACAAGTCTCAAGAAGCCAAATCAAGACTGCTAAAAAAGCGAGCTCTTCCTAAATATAGCAACCATGTGGCCTTTTTTAACAATATATATGTAAATATATTACACAAATTTCCTCTTCAAATCCGCCCGGATTACTTAACATTCTTAACATCTTGCAGAAGATTTGAAATGCAGAAGATTTGAGCTCAGATATTGTATTATTTATTTATTTCACTCAAAACAAAATTATTTGTTTGAAAATAAGCTGTAGTAATCAGTTGTAAACTTTCTAACCGGAAATCATGAAGGTTAAAACTTGTTTTTTGTTTACATTTGTATCGAAAATATCACCCATTGCAGAAGTGCTTCGAGACATGCTTTCGCTCAAGCATCAAACTGAGAATATTCTTAACAGCTTTTTTCGAGACCCTACTTTGACTTTCGTAGGATGAACTTTGATTTAGCTTTGCTGATCGCCAACAACACACATTAGAACTTTAGACTATAGGTAGTTAATGTATGCTGCCGATTGTGTTGATAGTTAGAAGGGAAAAAAATAGTATCGATGTTACTGTAAGTGACCGAAATGGGTGATTGTTGACTTCCACCGGTGAATGTTGACAATCACATAATCACTTCGGTTCATGTCCGAAATATATATTAGGTCTAGTGAAGTCCCACTGCCCGGTACACATTTGCCCGGTATGCCCCACATCAATGTTTATTTAAGATCAAGAGCCACTGTCCAGTATGCATTTAACCGGTACACCGAACACTGATGTTTCTCCTAATCTATCCTCAGCAGATATTAAAATATCGAATAAATATAATAATATCAACGAATAAATTAATTTCAAATTGGATATAACAAATATTTCCGACATTCACCAAAGCGACTACGTGATTGTTGACATTCACCGGTGAAAGTCGACATTCGGTCATTCACGATAACATCGATAGATTAAACCATCAATAATTTGTTTTTCTCTCCTAGACTTTGGATGGAAAAGAATTGCTCTTCGAACAACAATGATGATTGGTATTCTATTTGTTGGTCAAACTATCCCAAGGTTTGGAAAGGTTTTGAATTTGGTTGGGGGATCCTTTACAGCATTGACCTCAACCGTACTTCCCTGTTTCCTTTATTACCGACTTTGCTCTCAGATGGATCCAGCATGGCCAATCAGGTAGCAACAGATAAGTCATAGTTTATTAATAAACTAAATTAAACATTGATAACCACTAATTTCACAGCAGCGTTCTATAATAGTTCATTTTTCCCTTCAATAATTTATCGACTTTTTCATTAAAGTTTAATATGAACACTAAAAATTTATTTTAATTTAAAAAGTAATTTTATGAATTAAAAAAAAAAAAGAAAAACCATTGTGAATCTATTTTTTTAAAAATTATGTTATTCCCTTTATATTTATATTCAAACAGAGTTTTTTCGTTTTTTTTTTTTTTTTGTACCATTTTTAATTCAGTTGCATTAAATCGAACTGAAAAATTACATTTATTTAAATGTAATGAATATTACATTTAAATAAATGCAATTTTTTTAATATAAAAAGTTACATTTCCCCAATTAAAAAATAACGTGTTCTATTAGAGTAGAGGATTAAAGAAAAAATTTTCTATTTATTAAAAATGTGAAAATCCTAGTGTTTTCATTATGTATAAGTGATGATTGTCCTTTTTTTATAGTCTAATCTGAAGTCTTATCGGAACTAAATATCACATAACGATAATTAATACTGATGAAAGGGTAAAACGAGACTAGGTATTGATTTTTACATTGAAATGAAAACTAAAAATATTTAATTTACGTTCGCATCTTTTATAACAGAGTGCAAATAAAAATACCAGTATTTACGACAGAAATTTCGCACATTAATTTTCCAAGGTTATCACTTCTCTTCTCTGTGCTAGGAACACGAAGTCAGTAGGACTGAACAAATGGTAGTATTTTCTCTTCCCATCGCTGCTCACAGTTTTTTTTTTTTTTTTTTTTTTTTTTTTTTTTTTTTTTTTTTTTTTTTTGTGGGGAAAAAACTGAATTAGAGTATCGAGTTATAAAATCAGTCATAAATTGCTCGAAATAAAGAAGCTATAAAAATTTTTAAGAAGTTTTGACTTTCTTAATCTATTTTATTGTTCAGTTAGGATAAGTTAGAAAGTTTCTTAAGATCATAATGCTAGAAGTAAATATCTGTAAAGTTTAAAAGACAAAAACTATATTTTATAACATCTTTGAAGTGGTAAGCACTGAAATAACATGAACATGACGAGAACAGAGGACAAAAAACAAAATGTTCTCATAACGTTAAATATTACAAAATAACTCAAAATTAATGAGCTCATTTTTGGTCTTTTGTAAATGATAAATTACGTGTTACTTCAGTCTCATTTTTATACAGTAATTAAGTACATTAGAGATCTTGAGGCGAAAGGTGCACAAAAAGTTTTTGATAAGTATGCCAACTATAAGGAATAGTTGGCATAATTGCCAAAATATCGTGTCATAATTAAGGAATAATATTTGTAAGTTATTCACTACTAAAATTTCTTACGGAGTTTCTTTATATATATACATAAAACTTAACAATCTAAAATTATTTATTCTATATTTCACTTATTACAGCTTTATTTTATTTGGTACTTTTCGGTTAGCAGGGAACAAGCGAGAAGATCGCCAACAAAATGTAGATCTCCGCAAGTTTTTTAAATATTTTTTAAACACATAAAAATTAAATAAAATTAAAAGTAGTTTAATTTCCCTGCACTAGGCTAACTAAAAAGTACCTTTTATTTTATTTAATTATTTTACTTCGAACTTATTTTTTTATTAAGAAAAACTACTTCATGAGTGGTTATTTTTAAAACTAAAGTTGTTATGAATTAGACTTGATTACTCTTAATATATATCTTTAGAATCCTTGTCAAAATGAAGAAGGAAAAAAAGGCTGCAAAATAGGTGTCACCCATTAATATTTGAGCGAGTAAAATATTCATCAGAATCTAATTAACTGCTGAGGATGGCGAAATTGAAAAAATCAAAGCATGTTTGACTGCCGGAAGAAACAGAGAAGAGTTGAAAGGCGATTCTTATTAACAACTCCAAACTAGGGTAAACTAACCAGTGAAGGAACTATGATTATTTTTATTTTCTTATATAGGGTAGGTAAACTAAAAAGTGAAGGAACACTTAAGCTTCGCTTGCCTTTTAAAAAATCATATTAATTTCAAAATTCGTAATTTTAGTTAAATGACAGTGTCAACATATTTGCTACCAATTGCAAATTATGTAAAAAAAATTTTAGAGAATTTACATAATATTGTTTTAAAGTTTTGGGGATGCAAATAACAAGTAGTAAGAAGACCAAGTGAAGGAACAGCTCTTACCAGAGAAGGAACACAAAATTTCCTAGTAAAGGAACACTTAATTTTGGTTATTTTTTAATGCTCTTTAAGAATTTATATGCCATACAAATATCTAAAAACAAGCCTATTCTTGAAATTATAACATACAAATACTTGGAAAATGTTAACTTTTTTTTGTAATCATGAATTGAAAAGCAAAGTGTCAACATATTAACACATACTGTTCATTCACTGGGAAATCTATGCCCAGTAAAGGAACATACCTGTTCCTTCACTGATTAGAAGTTGCTTTTTGCATTTTTAACATACATACTTTTGATGCAAAACATCACTAAAGGTACAAGAAAATTAAAGTTTTTCTTTCATTTTCATTAACTTAGAAAAAAACCAGTAAAGGAAAACTTGTTCCTTCACTGGTTTTTCATCGTTTGGTGATCCAGTGAATAAACATCCCCTTATCTCAGTACTTGATTATGCTATGATGCTTTAAAAAAATAAAAACGTAATTTCTATAACTATATTTTGAATTCTTATTCTCACAGTGAGAAAAATAAAACTATTACATGCAATCAATTCCAGTTCAAACATATAAATACAAACACTCACCTTATAATTTTTTCAAGGAAACAAGGTGTTGCAGAGATAATAACAAAGTTAAAAAATTTTCCAGAGAAATCTCTGTGACTAGGTAATCCAAAACATTGCTAGATGACTTCTTATTGTTTGGCAGTAAGCCATTGTTACCAATCAATCTAAAGAAAAACTTTAATATTCTTATTTTTAATCAATATATATGAAATGTTCCTTCACTGGTTAGTTTACCCTACATAAGGCAGTTAAACTACTTTGACGTTTTTATGACGCCTTCTTCACTAAGTAATTTCACAGATTTAGGCATTTTTTTCCTTTGACATTTAAATATAAATTTGCGATCTCTAACATGTTCAAGGATTCTAAAAATACAGATTAAGGATACAGAGCAAGCTGTATATGATAATTCTTATTCTTGCAGGAATATTTCCACTCTTGAAAAATGCGTTTTGATCATTATCATTGCGAGTGGTGTCGTAGGCGGCGCCTTGTCAACTTACTCTGCTTTGGATGACATTATACAACCAGATACTTTCAAGCCACCTTGTTACATAAATGTTACAGGCGCTGCTGAATTGTAAATCATATGTGTTTATTTATATTTATTAAAGTTGTGTATTTTTTTAGCATTGTTTACGTCCTTAAAATTTAATCTAACACAACAGCTTTCCTAACAACCAACAGACAATACAACCTAACAAAATTCCTAACAAACAAAAATACCTAACAAAATTCTTAACAAAAATTAGGCATACATTTGCTTCTTAAAAATACACAAATGTCCAAACATAGAGTAAAAAACTCATATTTACAGACAACTGAAGAAATAGAAAACCAAATCGAGTGAAATTTTATGTAAAAATATATCAAAGTTTAACAAAATCGTTTATAATTAAAAAGTAAAAATATGAACTGAATAAAATGAGTTAAAGGGCATCACAGTAAAATAATCCAGAAAGGATGTACCAAAATAACATTTATGGAGGATTTATTAATATGGTAAATGAATCTAAAAGTTTGGAGCATTCTCCTGAGGAAACTATTGGGACGATATTTCCCAGTGTGAATACTTTGAAGGTCAGAAATCCGAATCTACGAAAAAAAGGGTGTTTTTATTCAGGTAAAGTACGTTTCTGTGACTGATTTTGACTGTCTGATCTAATTAATTAGCATTTTTGTGGTGAACTCCTCGAGCAATTAAGTTTGAGTCCTAGTACGCTAAAATCCGACCATTAGGATCAAAAATTATTCTAATGTGGCTCCTTTTTTTTCGCATTGTATATATGCAAAAGTATACAACAAAAAAAATTTGCCAGTGCAAGAAAAAAATTTCAACAGCTTTCGTGACTAGCTTACCTGTCCACTGGAAATTCATCAATGATCAATCAGTTACAAATGCAACCAATAGTGATACGTTTCGATTGGGATAGGAATACGTATCGTCCAATAGGAATCGTGCTAAACGGAAAATGGTTGAATGACAAAGGAACACTAATCAAGTTCAGCGGTTGAAACTGGCATCTCTATAAGAGCTTCATATAAAATATATATGCCATATAATTTGGGATCGCTCACGAGTCATTTTCTCCCACAGCAAAATACTGCCTCCTCAAAAACAAAACATACATCATTACAGATTTCAGAAATTTTTGCCATAACATCAAAAAAGTAAGCATTTTTCTCATATCAATCCAATACATTTTACGTAGATCGTACATTTGCTACAACAAAAAAAAATATAATGGGCAATTTTTTTAGCGTTTCTACGCAAACTCGATAAATGCATTCCACTTTCAATGACAATACTGAAAAAAAAAAAACATTATAGTCTAGATTCTTTTTAATAAAACCCAATACCAACAATAATTTACTGAATTTTTTGAGACTCGAAAATATGAAGAAAAAAATCAAATTACTCAACCCATTTTAGGCGAAGCATAAAAATTTTATAAAATGTTGAATAATTTTCATTGAAATATGCTTAAAATGCATTCACTAAGATACAAAAAAAAGTTATAAATATTTTATTTAAGAAATAAAAAGGTGGGTGAATGCACCATTGTTCAAATCAATACACAAACCATTTAGTTTAACATTAGTTTTTTTTTTTATATATAAAGTTTGTTTTTCATTGTATTAGAACAGAACTTACAACTTTAACCAATCATTATAAACATATGATTAATCTCAAATGGATAAATTATAAATTTTCAAAAAGTCGAATTTGTCAATAATAGTCTCAAGTTAGAAACTAGCATAAAATTTTGCAACAGAAAGTGTTTACTCCAATTAAGCTACTATAATATTTTATAGATGTCTTCAGAACCCTTGACAATAGCTGAAAAATAAAATTAGTGAAAAATATGGGTCGCAGCGTTAATAAAAAAATATTTATTGATTTACGCACCTTTGGCTGAAAATGGGTTCATTTTGCCATAAAAACTTATTTTCAGACATTGAAATACATAACGCATTTGTAATTAAAATATAATTTAATACCTGGTAGTAAACATCTGCAGTGTTTGTAATTACTAAATAATAATATATAACTGTAATAAATGCTATTATTAAAAATGTTTCCTTTTCGATCAAATTTCAAAACACCCCCTTTTTTTCGCAGCACAAACCTCACAAGAATAAGTAAAATACAACTATTTATTGATAGATTTAATGCAACATTGTTTAATATAATTTTCAATATTATTTTTTTTACTAAAGCATAAATTTTGCAAATTTGAAGAATCCACTTCATTTTTATTCATTTATTTTTTGCCTTGTGATTTTTAAACTGAGAAATTAATCTATGGATACGAACTACTTTTTTTCCACATATCGCCATAAATAAAAGTTGCAGATAACAAATTTAATGTAGCTTTGAGTTGGAATGGAAATATATTTTTGTGAGATATGTAAGATACAAAGTTTAGATTAAAGGAAATTGCATGTTCTAATTTATAAGTAAATAAAAATTTTATATATTTTTTTTAAATAAAAATATAATTTAAAAAGAAAGAATGAAATAAAGATTTAAAATAAAAAAAAAAACTAAATAAGATATTACAACTTTAAAAAAATATAGCCTAATCTTTGGTGGAACCCTAAGTTGGAAAGTCGATGCTTTTATTTAAGTTATATTTACATATAAAAAAAATTTCTTTTTCCACAATAAAATTCTAATAAAAAATTTATGAAGTGAAAAGAATGAAAATACAGAATTCACAACAGAAAATTTTTATTTCATGCATGTGATTATATACGAAACCAAGCAAATGGCATGATAAAAAAATTTGTCATATACACACAATTATCTGTCCATTATACATGAACAAAATTTTATGAAATATTCTTATGTAAACGATAAAATGAGAATATGTTTAATGAAACATAAATAACAAATGAGGTTTAAATATCAATATCACACAGAATTACTACTAAATTAAACACACATAGAATAGAATACTAATATATAACAGGTATGTTTTGTATCACTTTTGGAAATTTAAAATAACTAAAATAAAACACAGTTTCAATAATACAAAAAAAATTTTACGTTTATTGAGTTTATAAAATATGAATAAAGCACATACGTAAATTAAACAAACAAAAAATGCAGCTGTTAGTATAAAGATGAGATTGCATCATATATATTGGATAGTTCTAATATCAGCAATAGTTTCAATACATATAACAGAAAGCTTAATCCTATTGGAAGTTTCTTACAAATTTATATCACTATAAGATTGACTATTACATAAGAATATATCGTTTTAAGCTTATCACCTATAAAATTTACACATTAAAAAGACACTAAAGAATATATTTGACTAGCACACATTTTAGAAAAAGCACCTCTTGTAAAGATATAAAAATATTAAAAAGAATTTCATAAATTTTGTATCGAAAATAAATTAGTAAGAAAATTATATTACTATATTTGCGATTACAAAATATTGTTATATATTTTGTTATGGTTTAACCCTTTAAACCTTTTTCTTTATTCCCTCCAGGGCTTACTTTGGCACCACAGTTTTTTAACAGGATAAGAGAAACCCTTTGATTATCAATAGAGATAACCCAACAATACTTTTAGTGAAATAACTCTTTTCTTTTATATATAATAGTAGTTTTTGGATTAAAACATATCATTTCAGATGTTTCCATTTCTATTACTTAATTATGAAAAATAGTTGCAAACAATAAAGTTTCATCCAATATTGATGTGGGGAAATGTTATTCAATAGCAAACTGGAGAGAAAAAGTTTTGCCGAGATGGTAAAAGGGTCAACACATTTCATGACTCATGAATTTTAAGATGTGAGCGAGCAAAAAGGCTAATGATTTTCTGCTTAATAAGGCAACAGTTGTGTGAGCAATCATGAGTTTACATGTAAGTAATGGATAAAACACATGTATGCATTCAGTATATTTATTTACATTTTTTGAGATCAAATATTAATATAAAATCTCCTCAATGAATACTAATCATGCTACAAAATAATTTGAAATAATATGCAACTTAATTTCCGAATAATTCCAAAATAAATACATTAAGAGGAAGAAAAAAAACAGTAAATTTAAAAGAAGGATTCATAATAATAAAAGTACAACAAAAAGCTGTGATAAAATCAAAATATTTTAATTAAAAATACGCATAAAATATTTCAAATAATGACATAAACTTAATAAAATCAAAAACGGATGCGAAAAAGCGTACTGACTTATACAAATTTTTATATAAAACAACTTATTTCACAACTTTTTTCTCCTTAAGATAAAGTAATAAAAAGATTCATTTAATACTTGAATAACTAGGCAATCAGAAATATTTTAAAGCAAAATAAGTTCATTAGCAAATTTAAATCAAAAGCGTGAAATGTTAGTTAAATAGAATAGAAATTTAAATCAGATAAAAATAACAGAGGCATTCAGGCATCCAATTTTCTATAATACTAGTTTTTAGAAATTTAGCAAATTCATGCTCATGTTCAATAACCTAATCTTTTATTTATAGGTGAAAAGAAATGTCTATAATAGTTGACTAGTAAATCTTGCTTGCCTAAAGAAAGCATTTGATTAGGTAAAAGTGTAAGACAAAGCAATAAAAATCAATTTCAAAATAGTAAATACAGAATTTTAAGCCATTGGTCTTCAAGAAATAAAATAAAGAGAGTAATAATAAAAAAATTTCTATTTGAATTTCTTTTTGCAAATTAAAATGTGTTAATTTTTTGTTAAAATACAAACAGTTAAACTTAAATGTTTTTAACAAAATCAAAGACAATTTTAACATTTACCACACAGAAGGAAACACAGAAAACATTTCTGGTTTTAAAGATATTCATGTAAACGGCCTCCATAATAAAATTTTTAAATCATTCGACTTAACCAGTAACATTAACAATACTCTTTTAAGACTTGCAAATAAAATGAGGAAAATGAAAAGCAAATGAACAAATGTATATTAACTGAAAATTTTTATTATTATTTCAATATATTTAAATTAACCACATTTACTGCGTTGCAAACATGCTTAAAATGACAAAAACAATTCCAACTCTAAAGTATGTTTTTCTCTTGTTGTAATTTTCAAGTTTATAATTATAATACTAATAAAAAAAATTCTAAAAATATCATCAATTAAAAAAAAATAGCACAAATAAATTCGTTGGAAGGCCAGGGGTCTGTCTAGGTTTTTCTGAGAGGTACCTATTTTGTGAAAATTTAGACATAATTTGTGAAAATTAAAAATTATAATAAAAAATCAACACGAGAATATGGTATTATCATTTCTTATGCGATACAAAAAAATATTTTTATGAAAAAGTATTTTGTGAAACTACCGTTTTTCCATGTTTGAATTTGTGAAGGTACCGCTAAACGGTAGTAAATTTGGTCTGGACAGACCCCTGGAAGCATACAGTTACAATAAAATTTTCTTATTTGAAAGATCATGTTTTAAAAATACTGAATGAAGAAAAAAAAATTCAGAAAAATTGAACTCTTAATTTAGTAAGAACACAGCATTATAAAACAATAGGAAACTGACACAGTAACTTCCAATACAATATCTTACAGATTTGATAAAAAAAAAATTAAAAAAAACATCACACATAATCTAAAACAGTTTTTCATTAAATTTTTCCTTAAAATGTCAAGGTTTCAAACAAAAGAAACAACTTGTATGCTTTTATAATTTTCTCTTTTAAATTTCGCAAATAATTTTCATCGTCATGTTGCAACACTTAACATAAGTGGTAGATGTGCAACAAAATGCATGAAAATTATGTGTTCATTTTGAAGAATTCAAAAAATAAGACACCAGAGAGAGTAATGATTTAGTTAAATTTTATCATAAATATTTTTTTATCTGATGCCTGAAGCATTCGTTAGAAATTAACTCACACTAAGAAAGCATAAAGAACAAAAATCTTGTAAAAAGTTTATATTTTAACAGAATTTATTTAAATAAATTGACTCGATTACTCCAATGAATAAGATGCCGTGATAGGAGGTTACTCGATTTTAGGTGGAGTAAAAATGATCCATTTACAATAATAAAAAAAAAGCTTATCTAAATTTCATGTTCACAAGGAAACAAGCTTAGGAGGTGCAATTGTATCTGGACTAGATAGGTCACTACTTGAACTACGTTGTTGACCACTACAAGATGATATGACACATGAGGTGGCACTGTTGTCCATTAAAGACTCGAATTGGAAAAGCCCATTGGATGGAGTGTTTAAAACAGAATTGAGAGCATCTGAAGGTGACTTATTTTCGTTGTTACTATTAAAGCTTGAAGAGAGTGGGAGGGAGTTGGGACGATTGTATGGCTTCAACCTGTTAACATTAGGTTTCACATCAACAGATTTGTTGTTTTTTGAAGAATGCAAGTGTAACTTGCACGTGGATTTATGAGCTTCAAGTATAAATTCTAATTCTTCTTTCTGAAGAGTAAGCATGTGAATTTCATTTTGAAGAAGAGAACGTCTCTCTTCCAAACCATCCGTTTCCTAGAGGAAAAAGAGTAAATGTTTCTCAGCATTCATAAGATTTCAAAATAAAATGAAATTGAGGATGATTTATCTACATAAGATACATGTTATTCTCTGTTGTATGATGATTTGTAAGCACATGGCTCAAAACAACTTTTCATTACAAAAAAAAATACAAAAAAAAAATTATTACAACAAAAAGTAAACATATGTATTCTTACATCTCTATGGGAAAAAAAAAACTTTGAAAGCTATATGAAAGCTAAAAAAAGAAACTACTGCAGATGAATCTTAAAAATTCAAGCTTCATTTTAAACTATTAAATTTTAAAATAAAACTGGTCATTGGGTTTGCTAAAATGAAATAGAAAATATATTATCAACAAATAAAATATTATTTGGCAAATGGGTAATTCCATAACAAATCAACCAGTAAAAAGAAAATTATGTCAGCAATTTAAATTTCAAGGACTTTTTAGGATTTTGTTAAACCTGCTACAATGTGAAAAATACCAATTTTATATTTTTTACCTCAATTTGTTTCGAAATTGTAAATTTTTGAATTTTTAAAAATTTATATTTCACTTCAGCTTAACATTCTTTCCCCAATTGTGTAACTTAAGAAAAATTTGATCTAGAAAAAGATTTGATCTATCATTTCATTCAGTTTCTTATATCATCTTATAAAATAGATAATATAACAAAGTTATAATAAAAACTTAAAAAATTAATTTAAAAACTCTAAATTTTTATTTTTTAGAAAAAAAATATTTCATTTAACTTTTTTCATCTAGCAACATTTAAACCATATTTTGAAATGGTACTTTTATAGGCTCTTAAAGAAAAAAATTTTCTTGTAGTTTAACATTGGACATAAATCAAATAGTTACATGAATTACTTTCTTTCCACTTTCTCTCAGAAATGCTCTTGAAATATCATGTAATATGGTTTTTATTCTACTATTTAAAACTTTAATTTTTATTTTATTTTTTTTAATATTAGTAATTCTTGAACACATTAGGTAATATTATTAAAATTGTCCTCTTAATATTTCCAGGTCAGAAAAAAAAATAAGATTAAAATGAAAATTATTAATAAAATAAAATTTTTTGGATAATTAAATATTGCTGTCAACAAATTGATGCCATATCTGTTACCAAATACTTATTTACATTTTTTAAACTAAATAATTATATTTAAAATTCATGTATGACAATCAATGTATGACATTCATCACTGGTAAACCAGTGATGAATGTTTAGTTGAGAAATATAAGTATCTATTTTCAATGTTCGATTGATAAAGCAGAAGTTTTTTGGTGTTAATGCTTCTTACTAGGTTCATGCCTGTAACCATAATTAAATATATAAAAAATAATTATTTCTTAACTAGCTAGTTTAGCATATTAAGTTTTTAGTCTAAATCAGAAAGAAATTAATATATATATATATATATATATATATATTAGAATTATTCAGCTTCCTAAACTTTTTTTCTAAAATAACATCTCTGTCCTGATCAATTAAACTATATTGTAACAAAAAGACTCACTTATTTGGTAAATTTAAATTCACAAATTAAAAAATAAAATATCTTTGTCTGGAACATTAAAAAATAATACAGATTATGGTAACAGACATAGCAATTTTCATCATATCTAGCCAAATAAAGTAACAACTAAAATTAATTTAAAAAAAAAAAAGAACTGAAAGAGGAACTTTCAAATGGTTCTAGAATTTTACATGATGCTTAATTACTTCTAGAAATTACATAATTTAATATCACAATTTTTTTCTACTTTTAATTTCAAATTATATGAAATTTTGAAAATGACCGTGGATAAGGCAATTCCTAAATAAGTTTTTATTTTGGAATAAATGATTATAATATAATATAAATATTTAAATATATATAAATATTATAAATATTTAAATCTACTGCAGTTTGCAGAAAGTAAAAAAAAAAAAAGTAACTAATTGTGAAGAAAAGATTATATTCAAATGCTGAAAATTTGCAGTAAAAACTTCCAGCACCACTCTTTTCAAGAACTACCAGTTAAAATGTTTTACCTCTAAAAATTTTAGATGACATAAATTATTCTGAAAGAAGAGTATATAATAAAGATAAGTGTTTTCAGAATATTTTTAATGAGATATATTTACATTCATCAGATTGCTGGTAAGTTCCATGCGTCTTTTTCGGCATCGTGCTGCTGCCAATTTGTTACGTTCTCTTCTAATTCTTCGTCTCTCTTCTTCTTCTGGACTTAGCTGAAATATTAAATTAATATTGAGCATTTTAATAAACAAAATATTTAAAATATTTATTTATCTTTTATTGAAAAATTACTTTAAACCAGGGATGGAATTTTGTCTGAAAGAAATAAATTTTTTCTTGGACACTTGAAAAAACAAAAAACTGGGCAAAATGGAAAATATTCAATGAAATAGAAGAAATTAAAACTGACATATAGACTTAATTAGCAATAAGTAATATAAGAACAATTTTAACTTTAATATAGTATATTTAACATAAAATCAAAAAGTTTTAATATCTACACTTAAAAAATATTATTTTCAGAGTACTTATTTATTTTAGCTTTATTCAGAATTTTAAAATTTATATATCAGACAATTTAAGACTCAATTTGAGCATTCACACTTCACATGTAATTATAAAAATTAGTATGCTATTTATAAGTGTTAATTCTATGCAAGGTTGGCAGTAGTAAACATGTTTAGTATGTGATTCAATATAGCAGTTCTTCATTTAATTCTAAAATAAACTTTTACTATACAAGGTAGAGTCAATAAATTACCAAAATGGTCGTCTACATTCACGCAGGTGTTCATTAGAGGGGAAATATTTTTTTAGAGGTTCTATCAGCACTCATTACGAAAAGACACAGCCATCTGAAATTCATTTCTGGTACCGATGGTGTCCGCTGCAGGTCATTTCTGACAAAGCAAATTTTTCATTCATTGGGTTTTGTAATGGGTTAGAGCAAATATTAAATTCTGTATTTTGCTCGGGAAATCTTCTCCTGACGCACTCGAAATGCCGAAGAAAGCATACGGAAACGATGCCACGAAAAAATAAACCGCTGTGTTTGAGTGGAATAAGATTTTCGTGAAGGTCGCACAAACATCAAAGATGATCCTCTGCTCTTCCACAGCAGATGAAAACGTTGAGTGTAGTCGTGAAATAGTGAGTACAGATAGGCAAATGTCCATTGATGATATTGCCTCTGAACTAGGAATTCTACATAGAGTGTTTACAAAATTTTTCATGATAATTTGAACAAGCATTGTGTTTGTTAGTTCCAAAAATGTTATCACTTGAACAAAAAGAAATGAGAATGAACATGTGCAGGGATTTGATTGACATGGCTGATGAAGATGGCGGCTTCTTGAAGAAAATCTTAACAGGTGATAAGACATGGTGCTTTTATCTACGACCCTCACACAAAATGTCAGTTTGCTTTCAGTGAGTGGAAAGCAAAATCATCACCAAGGAAGGGAAATTTTCGTTACGACGAAAGCCGATGGAAAGTGATGTTGGAGGTGTTTTTCGATGAAGAGGGAGTCATTCAATACGAATTTATTCCCGAAGGCCAAACTTTTAATAAAGAACCTTACATGACTATGCAAAGGGGTGCAATCGAACAAAAACGACCTGAAAAGTGAACAACAAACGCTTGGTATCTTTTACATGACTGTGCTCTACCTCATCGCACTCTGATTGTGAAAAAGTACCTTAACAGAAAATGAAATTGAAGAGACACCATTTTATGGATTCAGATGAGGTGATCAAAAATGCAACAAAGCAACTGTAGGACCTCTCACAAAATGGAGGCCCAGGAGTGCTTTGAATAGTTATACTCATGTTGACAGAAGTGTGTGGATGGGTGAATAAAGTACTTTGAAGGCTAATAAAATAAAATCGTTTTCATTTATTAATAATTTGTAATAGACCTATTCCAGGAACTGCTTGACTCTACCTCATATTTCTCTACTTAAAATATTAAAAGAAACTGTACCTTTAATCTCTTAATAAATTGATATAATTTTTCTTTTAATTTGTTGCTTTTTTCACTCATTTAGAAATTAATATTGTTTAAACTAGATTGTAAATATAAAATGTTTAAAAAAAAAAATTAGGTTTTTTTTCTTCTCTTTTGTGTCTTTAAGCAATATTTCTCATTAAAAAATCTATTCTCATTGTGTAATGGAACATTTTGCTTCAAGTACTCACAAAAAGCTTAAAATACGCACCAAACACATTTAAAAAATATTTTTAAATAAATAAGATACTGGAAAAATGCCATTTCCGTCTCTTGCACCCAACATTATTGAAGTAACTTACTATATTATGAAAGAGTTACAAAAGCATACATATTCTGATATAGTATGACTGTCTACCTCGATACATATCCATCATAATTCTTTGAATCATTTGTATATTTTGTTCTAACATCATTTTGTAAACGGCCCTAACTTTTGTCTAGTAACATGTCCAAGTACAAAAAGTACCAAAAGTTAAGTATTTCCATCTTAGATTTTTTTCAATCTCAATTTTTTGATGTAACAACAGAACTTTTCCACTTTTGTTTGAAAAAACTTCTTTAAGATGCAAACATTATTAGAAAAAAATACTACGTGTACAGGTTTCAAAAGCAAACGAAAATCTTAATATTTAGAAGTTTGCTCCTTTGATGGAGACATTGGTTCTCTCTACTTTCCATCCTCAGAAAGTGCACATGGGTACATCTTTCTAAAGACATTAAAAGAGATCAATAAGTTAGTCATTTTCTCAGACAGTAAAAATAATAAATTAAGAAATAAATTGAAGATGGGAATATTGTGCATGGTCCTTAATCAATTTGGTTAAGAAAATATGATTGAATTCAATCAGATTCTTTGGCACTGAAAGAAAAAAGTTTCTTAATCCATATTTAATATTCAGAAAAACTTTCATTTTACCTTATCATCTCTTATCGGACGCCTTCCACCACTCCTACCAGACTTAGATGCACGAGAGCTTGAAGATGCTTCAGATGGTGGACGAGGAGAATCTAAAGATCTGTCAGAAGATTGTAAGCAGTCATCGACCCATCTATTATCCTCTTGTTTGGGTAAATTTGCAAAAGAAACTACAGGAGGGGCAAAACCAGCTTGATGTTGATGTTCTAATGGAGCAGGAGGTATAGAACTATACTCCATAAAAGATTCTTCAATGTTTTTTAAGGTGGTAGGAGTTAAAGTAGGGGTTGTTCGAGTAATTCCACATGTTAGCCCCTCAATTGTGGAACACTACAAATACGAGGAAATAGTTTAGAACAGATCTGACAATCTTAAACATACATTTTATCAAAGAAACGAAAATCATAAGCATTTCTCAGAAATTCTAAGCAGATACTCTGATGTGTTTTAACATTAGTGATATTGGTGTTTTAAAATGGATAATATTAAGTAAATTGTGAGTTTATAAAAAGATAATTGCCAGATATTTTCATGTACATTTAAAGAAAATAAACATCCTAGAATCTTAAAAAATATTATGCATCATAATGTGTTTATTAAAATGTAGTTAAACTCTTTTCAATAATTTTGAAAAGTGGTGCAGAAAATTCCCAGCAGTACCAAATATTTTCCAAGAACCAGTCTTATGCAGTCGGTATTTAAAACGACTGACTCCAGTCGTTTTAAATTTAAAGACACATGTGTTGCAGTTTAAATTTTTTTTAAAATATAAAAGCAGTAATAGATGCTGCAGAAAAAAATGAGAACGTAACAGATTTATTTTAATTAGCATTTATAACAAATAAAAAATGAAATCGAAAATTAAATGCTATACACCCTATTTTTGAATAGCATCAATTAAAGTAATTAAAAATTAATGTTATACTTCTGAGAGATGGTCACCTCACACCATTTCATATAACAATATATACTAAGACTTTTAAAAAATCTTGGGAGACTTTTAAAATGTAATTTCAATCATAATTTTGTTTAAAAAATAAATTTTCAAAAATTTAAGAGCTAAAGTAATGCTTTAAAAAACTTGTTACATTTAATTTCAAGAGAGCCTGTACAAGAGCGATTGAAATTTTGTTTTGATCACATATTTAATGAATAAGAATTTTATTTTTCCCAAAATAATGCATTTCACTCAAAATCAGGACCTTATATTTTTTAGATTTATGGAACTAAAATAAATTGCATCAAAATAAATACCAATTAATTTTACATTTCTTTCACACCAATGAAAAATAGAATAATTACTAGTAGACGACTCAGGTTACTAATGGACTAATCTAGTTACTAATGTTAATTCCAAGTTAATAATTGACTAACCAAGTTGCTAATTGAATACTAAAATATTTTCTCCCAGGCAGCCTCTCCCAAAAAGCTTAGGTAAATTCTTTCATCAAACATACATAAACTACCCTTAAAAAATTTATAAGAAAATATTTGAAAGAGAAATTAGAATGTTTAACAAATAAAAAAAATATACATACAGTCTCTACTCTTTAGCACGACTTCCCATTAATGCAACCCTTCCATTCTAACGACTGCAATGTGAAGTCCCGTTTGCTGTTTCATAGACAATGTTATTTTAACGTGCATCGTAACTGATCTCCTCATTCCAATATAGCAACTGAAATTTTGTTTAATTGTTTTCTTTTTTAAAATTCTCCAAAAAGTAACTATTGACAATGAGTCATTCGATGCTCCCAGAAAACTATTGAACCACTATTTCTTTTGACTCTACCACTCAATAAACATGATACATCTCTATGAATGACAGAGAGGGACCACCTATTCTCAATTTTGGAGGTCCTGAGCGCAATCTATGGTCAAATGAATATGGATAAAGTATTATTGAGAATTTGAAATGTATATTGCAACATAGTTGAATAATATAAAAGCATGCATGTCGCGTGCGGACATATCAGCGGGATTCTTCTATTTCTCAGATACTTTTTTGATGTTTATTGTAATATAAAAAAAGTATTTATGAAAATCAATATCTAGTTACATGCAAATGTTTCCGAATTGAAAATATAAAACTATTTCTTTAGCCCAAAGAGTAGCTATTCCATCATTAGTGCTATGCAATTTCGTTTATTAACGCTGCAGCCCAAATTTGAAACACACATTAATCTGCCACTAATGTAGGGGTGCACAACCTACGACCCACATGCGACCCATAAAAGCTTTTGAACACAATAACTTCTTTGAAAAATAAAAAATTTTCAAAAACTTTTAATCGTAATCAGTCATCACTTTTTAATCCACTCAATTTGCACAGATTCTATTGAAAATCTATATTGCTTTTCCGACTTAATATTTTTAATACAATATTATCACGAGCGAATTTCAAATTTGAATAATAACTTTTCAACTGTCTTTATTTTTTCAGATTTCATCATAAATCCAAGTGACGCTTCAATTGTGTTTTATTTTAAAATTTATAACAACTAATTTCGATACGGTTTCTAAAATCCCAATATGTTTATGACGAAATTACAACTTCTGAGATTTCATCGTAAATCATGACTTTTTTTGACAGTTATTGCTAACGCTTATTCACATGATTTCGAAAATCTGGTATTCTTACTACGATATCATTACAACACTCTATTGAATCCAGGGTTGGGTTTTTGACGTCAAAAAGTGGTTTTTGACATGACAAGGGTATAATACTGGTTTAAACCGTCAAAAATGTCAAAAACTGAAGTTTGCAAAAAAAATATATAAACTTCAAAACTACCAACAGTTGCCATGCATTATATTGAAATTTAATTATACTATAGGTAATCAGCAGGTTTTAAAATATTTTTTAATTAAAATTAAGGTAAAATAACAGATTTAAAATCTCAGAAATTTATATTCAAATGCATGTGCAGAAAAATTTTGCACAAAAATTGTTTAAATATTTATTTTTAAAAAAATTTTTTTTTTCTTTTTGATACTTAAGAAAATTAAAAGTTTATTACTATGCATTTTTGACATATAAGGAACATATAACTAATATTTATAAGGAACTTACAAGTTATGTTGTATAAATACAAACTTGATACAAGATACAAGTGTATAAAAAATTTTTTTTAATGTTATACCGAATATCTTTATTATCCAGTATGTTAATTTGAATTTAAAAGTAGTTATATTTATGAATAATGATAAATATAATTCATATTGTTTATTATATTTATTTATAATTATTACACTTATCATTTTAAAACAATTTTTATCTCTTAATTTTTTTTTCTCCACTTGTATTAAGAATACAAATAATGCATATCTTGAAAGCAAGAAGTAATTATTCAACAGCTGAATATTTAGATATTCAACAAAACTATATAGTATTCAGCAAAATGAAATTCACAAGTATTTGGATAAACTAAATTTTCAGCATAGTAAATGAATAGGCTGAATATACTGTAAATCGACACTAACTACTCTGTGTATTTAACAGAAAGCACTTAAATTTGTATTGTCTTATGTTAAAAAGATTATTAAGAAGATTTAAAAGAATATTAAAAAGATTTTTCTTTAAAAGATGTCTAATGTACAAAACTGCTAATGTTTATCTTTAAAAATGTCTAATTTTTAGTATAATCTATACTATACACTAAATTTGGTTATAAATAAATTTCTTAATAATATCACTGCAGATTTTCAATAACACATGAAAATGAATACATAATATTACAAAAGATGTGAGCTTTCAAAAGTACAAGATTTTGGTTACTATTCAAAATATAAGTGTTTCTTCAAAATTTTAAATTTATTTTTTCTAGAACATATTTAGAAACACTATCCTTTATAAAAAATATATAAATTTAATATATAAATTAAATTTCACATATGAATATAGGTTTTTGACATTTTCGACTAGTGAAGTTTTTGACGTGACGGTTTAAACCATGGTTTAAACCGTCAAAAACTGTCACATGTCAAAAACCTGCCAACCCTGATTGAATCCCATATTTGAACAATAACTTTTTGACACGCTTTGTTTTTCCCAATTTTAACATAAATCCAAGTTATTTTTCAATCAGTTTTTTGGCAATCTTTGTGATGCATTACCCCAAGGTTTTAGAAATTCCAATTTTTATTATGACATGCAAATTTTAAATCAAGCATTTAAATCATTATGTGCTTTATTCATGCTGATTTTATCATAAATGTAAGCCTTTTTTTGGGCAATTATTACAATGCTTTTCCTTGTGATTTTGACAATTTTATCACTTTAACTACAAAGTTATTATAACACACAAGCTTTTATATTTTATTCAAAATTTTTTTTAGCTTTGGTGTGCCTTCTTAAGGAAAAAAACATTTCCCTTTCAAAAATTCACAAAATCTCTAATTCAAGGAATAGAAATAATGCCTGAAGTATAATTGTAAATAAATATTGAATCCTTTTTTGTAATATAATGGATTTGCTTTAATTTTTGGTTTTTGCTTAAACCCTATAAATTTTCCTTAATTAAAATATTTAGTTCAAATATATATTACACTTTAAAATATGCATGTAGTTTTTTTACACTTTCAATCTGAGTATTACAGTTCTTTTTTAGAATATATATTTCTTCCCCTATTTATATTTATATATATAAGTATATAACTTTATACAAACATATTAGCTGCTGATTTTTTTGATAAAATTTTTGTGCTTGGCACACTAACCTTTACATAAATAGTACCTATCATATTTGCTGCCAAGATGACTAAATATGCGTGTGGCCCTTCGTTAGTCAACCTGCTATGCAAGTGGCCCTTCACTCAAAAAGGTTGTGCCCGCCTCAACTAATGTTCTTAATGTTAATGTGCATGCTGATACATATCTATTTTATTTTTGTCGGTAATAAATTAAAATGTTAAATAATTAACTGTTTTTGCAATGCAATAAAATTATTGTGGTATCAAAAATATTACGAACTTACAGATACTTTTGAATTGTGTGCAGATACTTTATTTTTTAATCTTACTGTGTATTGCACCTTCATTTTCTGTACCTTGAGTTTTCTGCACACTCATAACCATTCAAAAAAAAATTTTCATAGGGTTCAAGACACTCCTCTATCATATTTTTCATATTTATATTTACTGCTTTCATGAAGTGTTTTATAAGGTTTAGTTTATTTTGGAGTTTAAAACATGTGGCATAATTAGCATTATCAGTTTTGTTCAGTTCTCTTGACATATCACACCCAAGCAAGAAAAGTAACACAAGTTTAAAAAAAAAATAACTTTGAGGTTATATGAATAAAAAATATTGATGAAGTGCCACATCAAGCTCAAAAAGTTTCACCTCTCGAACTCGCAATTTATTCAGCCGAGGGCAGCTGTGCAGCAATTTGTTTACAATAATCAAAATTCATAATGTAATTCTAAAAGCAGAAATATAAAGTGATCTAACTTCTTGACATTGTTCTTCGGAAGCAAAATTTTAAGATCTAAAAAAAGCATTGAATGATAGACTAAAATTTAAGAGCAATTTTAAAAGATGTCATAGGAGAAAATTTAAATCTATTTTTAGCCGTTATGAACTATATTAGGTATATAATACTCGCACTTTATTGACATTAAAAATAAAGTATTATTCAGTTTCATAATTCTATTTAAAGCTTAGAAAGATTAACCCTGTATTTTCGAAGTAAATTTATGCGCAAAATTTATGTAGTAACTATATAGTGACCTCACGTTATATCATCTGTTTTCATTTGGACCACGGAAATCAGATCGAGTGCTGAAGCTTTTATGTCAACTTTGACTCATTCTGCTTTTTTGTTAATTTATCTCTTTTTATTTTCAATTTAATTTAAGACCAGCACCAAATAATGCAAGAATATATAATTTATTAAGAGCTATAAAAATATCTACATTGAACAACAAAGTGTAACAACAATATAGTAAAAATTTATAATAATTCACAACATAAAATTTTCATAATTTACAAATCTAAGACTCTATAGGCTCGATGAAATCTATATTTTATATTAACCCACTAGATGGTTATTGTTCACAAATTTTGCGATAAACAAACAACTTAAGATTGAATTAATCATTGATTTTGAAGCTGTATGAAAAAATCTACATGTTATAAACTAAAAGAAAAAAGATTAATAATAAAGAAAAGTGTAATGAGTACACATTTTATTTACTAATAAAACTAACTTGAATTTTCATTTCATAACTGAGCTGGAATAAATTATGCTTAGTGAAAATATAGCTCAGCATTATAAGCAAACATGAATATTTTTATTATTTCAATCACAGTAAATAAACTAATATCAAAAAAGAACGAACAAAAGTAGAGAATGCCAGAAATAACACTAATTAAAACAATAAAAGAGTAAACACACAGATAAATGAATTAAAACTATTTATGCCTACTGAAAAAATAATTAAGAAAATATTTAAGCAAGCAAGACAAATTATTATCATAGATTTCTGACACAAATGATTTATTTTAATGAGTAATAAATATTTAATTTTTAACAACTGATCAGCTAATTTTAATTTCAAAACTTACATTAACAGAAGGAGAAGAATCTTCTGCGCCATTCGCCATAGATGATAAAATATCAGCTACGTTTAAACGATCAGCTGATAAATTCTTTTCATTAATTCGAGAATACATAAGATTATAATGTTTTTAATTAAAATTTAGATTCTTGTTTTCACAAAAACAAACAGAAAAATTACATCATCACGTTTATGGTCATAGTTCGTTTCTGGAGAGATCACTGGATGAGTCATTCGATGACATCATAGAATAAAAATAAAATTATTTTGCGTCTGAAAAAAACGTCTTCTTCACACGTTTTTTACGCTATTTTAATTTTAATTGTTTAATTTTTAAGAAAAATAAAGCTTTATAGGCAAAAAAAGCATGATATTCTGGGAAAATAAACTGGTTATTTCAATATTTAATAGCCTTTTCTAATTCATAACATTCACATTTAACATTCCGACTAGCATTCGTAATGCATGCCTCAGACAAAAAATGAAAAATTTAGTCAAAAAAATCAAACAAACGGAATAAATTTTGATCCAAATCTAGTAAAAGAACACTCGAAAACACTCTTATTTCCATTTGCAGTCATTTAAAAAATACTTTTTCTTGGAGAGTTATGGTTAACTCATGTAGTGTGAATGCTCCCTTGGATAGATTAGTAACACATGCGTGATTCGCATCCAATCGCATATGCGATTCGCCATCTGTGGGGAATATGCCTTAGGGGAGAAAACCAGATCCATGTCTTGACCTTTCTCTTCTCAGTTGTAAGGGAATGTAAAGAGCGGAAAATAAAAAAAGGAATCACCCTAAATAACTTTTGATCTAAAGATCGGATCTTTACCTTCTAGAACTCAATCGGAATGATTTGAGGAGTGACCTCAAATATGCTAGTTAGTGCAAACGGTATTTTAAGTTTCGAAATCAGACACTAAAACATATTTTCTCTTGTATAAACATACCTTTTTTTCATTCAATTTTAAATATACTATTTTAAAATTTGATTTCTCAGGAACTATTTAATCAATTTTACTCACGTTTCGTACTTCGCCATTTAAAATTAGGTACTTTAAAATTATGTAAAAATTTTTATATATTACAGTCAAAATTTTTCCGACTATTATTAAATAAAAAAATAAAAAAAACAATAAATATTTACTAAATTTTTTTTGCATAAAATTTTCTTTGGAGAAACAAATTTTAGAATTGAGTTTTCAATTTGCTTAAAAAATTCTCAAGTTATGGCGAAATACGCAAAAAATATAATTAACATTAGGGGCTCCAAACTTTGGATAGCTCTCCCAAGAATGGAGCCAGACTTTGCCCGACAGGAGATCAAGTCTCCCCCTACAGGATGGCTCAAAGAAATTAATTCTAAATATTTAAATTAAAACATATTTTATACTTTATACTATTCTCACATTGATTATTTCAGACGTGTGTTTCTAAGAAGTTGAAATCGCTAATTTTATTATCGTGATGATCAGATTCATTTTAATATAAATCTAAATCGATTTTTTTTTTTTTTTTTTTTTTTTTTTTTTTTTTTTTTTTTTTTTTTTTNTTTTTTTTTTTTTTTTTGTTATCGATGTGTTTTGAGCTGTATGGTGCAATTTATAACACATTGTAAGCTTAAAAATTACTTCTAAAATAAAGAAAAATTATTGTCGCAGACACCACTCTTTCAGAAAATTTTCTCGCTACTCACTCTTACAGCGCAAAAATTATTCGATAATAAAAATTTGAAATTTTACCTACATTTACGAAAAGTTTAAAGAACATTTTGAAATGAAAATGTTATTAATGTATCCTTTTGCATTTTTTCTTCTACACAGAGGAAAAGTTCAGTTTTTCAAATAAAGTTTTAAGTTCATTTTTTGCAACCACTATTCTATCAAAATATAACATGCAACGTTTTGTACAAACTTCGAAATGATTTTGCCCATCAAACTGCGAAATTTGTTTTTTAAAATTGTTACATATTACAATTTTACAGACAAAACAAAGGATTATTTTAATCAGGAGGTTCGATGTTAATATATATAGGTAAATAAATATAGAGAGACTTTTGTAGTTTTCTCGCCAATATTTTTTTTTTTTTAAGATGCTATTAAAGCGAAGAACACCTGTGTTTGACCAAATGGTAATTTCACCATTTGAGAATATTTAAACAATATTGCTAAAATTTATAATAATTTTTCAATCTAAAATATTTCATAGAAATGACATCGGAGAAAATATCAACCAACTTACATTTTGAAAAATTTGTCACGTATAGCAGTTATTTCTCTGCCTGTGTCTTCCTTTCTCTGCGGAGCTGAAAGCTGACTCTCCACCAAGATCAATGTTTTGCTCTGCAGAACGCCTCCATGCGCCTGCAGCGAATTACCTTTGACAACGGTAATAAATTATTGTTTACCACACATTACGCTAAACTTTCTTTCCTGTACGATTTACACTTACTTTTGCTTTTATAGTTATGAATTTTAAGACACAAAAAATTGAGGTGGGGGACTAATTATCGAAAAATCTTTTTTTTTTTTTCTTTTCTCAAGAACTATTCTGCCAATTTTGCTCAAATTTTGTATTTTGTCATGTAAATTTGAATTATTTCAAATGATGTAAAAATTTTGTACCGTACAATACAAAAGTTCTTCGATCATAATTAAATAAAATAATAAACATTTACTAAAAGTTATATTTTGCATGAAATTATCTTTAGAAAAACGAATTTTACATATGTATGCAGAAATTTTTCAATTCGCTTAAAACAAAATTTGGGATATAGTGAAATATATAAAAAGTTAAGTCAATATTAAGGGGTCCAAACTTTAAATCGCGCATCTGACCTAACTATTAGCACCATTTTTTCCGGATAGCGGCTACTTCGTATATTTTGGGGATCAGAAATTCGATTCGGTCGAAAAAAGTATGTTTAGTCAGAAAAAGTACATTTTGTGTTTGATTTCCTACCTTAAAATATCCTTTGCTCTAATTAATTAATATATTTGACGTCTCTCTCTCGAACCATTAAGAATGATCATTGAGCATAAAGATCCGATCATTAGATCAAAAGTTATTCCGGTGGGTCCGTTTATTTTTTTGCGCACTGTACATCCATTTGAAGTATATGATAATATTGCTGGTACCAGCAAAAATCTTTTTAATTTTTATATAAGAGAATAATTTGGCTGGTGGTTATACTCANTATATATATATATATATATTGCAAAAAGACGAATTGAAGTTTTGATTTAAGGAATACATATTTGCATCTGTGGAAAGTGTAATAAAAGTATACTAAAATAATTATTTGTGTTGCAAAAATTTCTAGGAAAAAAATTACATTGTTTAATTTTTTGTGTATTTTCAGTTTAATGCGTTTTAAAACACATTAATTTGAATAAGTATTAATCATCAATCTACTAATCTACTTACTTCTCCATTTCTTACAAATAATTTAAAAATGGAATTCTTCAAGTTAAACGATGCGACGTTTTACATAATTCGTATTTTTATTTTATTGAATGCGGAGAATATGTGCACGTATTATAGTTTGTCTCAGAAGTTGTGGTCACAGAAGGACGATGAGGTAGGTTCTTGTCTCGAACAATCCCTCAGGGGTGTAGAATAACTTACCGAGTGGACACAAACAAGACTAGACCCACAGAATTTTCTGAGAAAAAGATGCCTAGCAGGAAGTCGGTGTTAAAATGTAAGTAAAAAGAACACATTCTCGTCTTTATGTTTTTAAGTTATTCTCAGTTACAAAAAAAAAACGAATATTTTAAGAACATAATTATATTTCTTTGCAAGACAGAAGCATTTTCCCGATGATATTTATGTTCGCCCAGATAGGGGGTAAACGATGCCCCAGAGGGAGCAAACGATGCCTGATAGGGGACAGTACTGCCTTCCCTGACCCCTACTAGAGCCACTCACCTGCTCTCCTGACTGAACTACGGGATTCTCAGATTGTGGCTACCCCCTATATTTTGGGGATCTGTAATCTGAGTCCATGGGGGAAAAATTACGTTTATTCAGAGAAAGTGCGCTTTTGCGTCTAATTTGGTAACTTACAATATCGTCTGCACTAAATAATTATCAGGTCACCTTCTTTTATATATTTTTTCGTATCATTTCTTGCTAAAAAGGTCACCCCTTCAAACCATTAAGATTGAGAACGTAAAAATCTGATTATTCGATCAAAAGTTATTCAGGGTGAGTTTTTTCTCTCTCTTTTCTTTCGATGGACTGTACTTTGATATTTTTCCATTCCATGATATTTTTCGTATTTAACTGTCAAATATGTTTTCTAAAATTTCCAAGATGCTTTTCTTTTAGAACTATGTTTAATGCAGTTTTCTGTTCAATATAGTTTAGTAACTTAAAAGTTTTTAATCTATTTAAAAATCAAAAGAGAAACAAACGTACTTCCTTCTCCAATGACTATCCTCCCCCCCCCCACGCTAATGGGGAGATCATGTGAAATGTTGCCATATTTAGAGAGTTCTGCTCTGCGCCACCTGTGGTTCATTTCAATCACCAATGGATGATATTTTCTACACTAGAGATCGCTGCAAGCTGTTGACTGTTTATACGTCCCAGTTACTGTTTTAAGTGCGTTTCGAATCCATTTGGCTCACAACGAGATAGTTGTGTTTTGAGACTCTCTTGAATAGTATTTCTTGAATACTATCGTTTAAATAATAGAACGGGTTATGATCGGGTAAATAACGTTATAGCCGTATATATAACATTATAGCGTTATAGTGGAGCATCGCTTATACGACGCCGAAGGGACCACTGAAAAACGTCGTATAATCGATTTTTTCTTTCAAAACTCGTAACTAACTCTGTTTTTAGTTAATTTTAATGTTTAGCGTATTGATTTACATAAATTTCTAAATTAGACAAAGCAAAACAAACAAATAACCGTTAAAAAAAAATTTTAAAAAATTACAGTAAGCAAGTTGAATGTACGTTACATTTATTTTATTTATTTATTACTATTTTTTTTCTTTAATACTCCAAATTTGTTTGTTTTTTTTCACTTTATCATTTCACGTTACGTTTACAGAAAAAATTATTGACGGTTGTTTGATGTGAGGATTGACGTTGAGCTTTATTGTTGTCGTTGTTACCTGAGACCATGCCAACGAAATCATATTCATTGTTTGGAGAACACTTATTTCATTGGGATTAGGCTCTGCAATGCTTCGAATAGTGAGTTCAACTAACTACTCTCCATACTGCAAAATTTTAGATTCCTAATCACGGCCAAATCTAATGGCTGAAGCACACTTGTGCAGTTTGCAAAAAAAGTGAACTTTTACATTTTCCCAAAAATTAGTAACCGGTGGGTGAGCTGGACATTGGTCGATAAATAGCAAAATTTTTAGTTTTTGCCTCTGCATAACATTCTCTAGTTTTTTCAGATAACTAGTAAAAATTTCGGTCGTCTTCCACGCATTCTTATTGGCGTCATAATTCAGCAGAAGCGTTTTGATATGCTTTAGACATCTGGAATTTTTTGATTTTCCTACCACTAAATGAATGATCTTTTCACTTCCACCAGAGTTTACACAAAGCAGCACAGTAAGGCGATCTTTTTCTTTTATACCTCCTTTACATTTTTGCCTTTATGAGCTAATGTCCGATTCGGCATTAAATGATGGAAAAGACCCGTGTTTAGTGTGAAGAATAAAAGTGAAATAAACGTAAACAAAATTTAAAAACAGATGTATAACCGATTCTGTGCGTCGGTTAAACGATATATTTTTACATTAAAATGAATAGGAATGAATTGGGTCCACACTAATACGTCGTATAAATGTAAACGTCGCATAAACGATCGTCGTATAAATGATGCTCCACTGACCAATTTGGAAATTTAAATCTGAATAATAATTTGCAAAATGAATTTAATCTCGCTGCTTGAATAATATGTTAACACTAACATATGTTGGTACACGGCTTGCAACGGTAATAAACAAATAAAAAGAGGCCAAATCGAAAATGCCAGAAAAGCGAGTTCTTGCTAAATCTATAAACTATGTCACCTTTTTTAACAATACATCTCTAAATAACTGAAATAATTTTCCATTTGCCTTTATAAGCTAATGTCCGATTCGGCATTAAATGATAGAAAAGACCCATGTTTAGTGTGAAGAATAAAAGTGAAATAAACGAGTGAAGTAATTCCAATGAGTTTGAAATCATTGGAATTACTTAATATCAGTAATATCTTATAAAATACAGCTGATTTGAGCCCGGAATTATTTAATTTATTTCTTTTATTAAAAACAAAATTATATGTTTGAAAATATCGCCAAGCAGAATAAGCTGTAAAAAGCAGCTGTATACTTTCTAACTGGAAGTAAAGTAGGTCAAGAGCTCGATATTGTTGTTGTTTACATTTATATTGAAAACGCTATCCATAAACAAACCGAACTTTGACCGGGTAGCTGCAATTTGGAAATCAACCAAAAGTTAGCCTTTTAATGGAACATTCTCACTGCATGCGATTCGCATATGTTATGGTGATAGTACGTCAATACGATTCGTTCACACTCAGGCTAGCTAGGTATGTAGGTATTTCATTTACGTCGCACTAGAGCTGCACAATGGGCTATTGGCCACCGTCTGGGTTGTTGTTGTTGTAGTTCATTTACGTCGCACTAGAGCAACACAATGGGCTATTGAAACATCCCTGAGGATGATCCGAAGACATGCCATCACAATTTTGATCCTCTGCCGAAGGGATGGCACCCCTGCTTCGGTGGCCCAACGACCTGCACGCGAAGTCGAGCACTTTACGGTAGCACAGTTTAACGAGAACCAATATCGCACACCCTCGGTCCCTACGCAGACTGATCCAAGTGGGTCACCCACCCGCACACTGACCGCAGCCAGTGATGCTTGACTTCGGTGATCTGCTGGGAACCGTGTCTTAACGATCAGTCCACTGCGGGACGCCACCGTCTGGGAAACATACTCCGAGGATAATCCGAAGGCATGTCATCACAATTTTGATCCTCTGCAGAGGGTTATATGACTCCTCCGCTGTGGTAGCCCGACGACCTGCGTACGCCGGCTTACCAAACAGCTTACGAGGACCGATACCGAGCACCCTCGGTCCCTACGTAGGCTGATCAAAGTGGTCACCCACCCGCTTACTGACTGCAGCTAGTGATGCTTGACTTCAGTGTTCTACTGGGAACCGTGTCTTTACGATCAGTCCACTGTGGGACACGCGAGCAATTCGTCATACTTGTAATTTCTAAACATTCCCTTACGTATCTAGGGCAATGACATACAGTGGAAATACTTCTGTAAATGCTAATTTCAATTCTTTGCGTACTTCTCCATCTCAAAGAAGTCATAATATTTTAAGCGTTAAATTCTCAATAACTATTTGATCAACTTCGCTTAAATTTTGTTCTTTAAAATTTTCAGCAGCAGCAGTGACTCGGGGCCCTGGAAGCTTTTTTCAATCTGCCCCAAAAATTGATTTCGAGATCTTCACTTTCAGGATCATCCACACAGTTTTTCCGTCTCTTGTTGGGTCTTTTGTTGGAGCCTCAATGATGTTCATTCAAGTCAATCTCATTTAAAGATGTCCTCACTTTTAAAAAATTTTTCTTAACGGAAAACCTAATTAAAATGATGTAATGTAAATTATTTTCATTGTGATATACGTTGTTTCCTTTAACACTAGGTTTACGGGACACGTCATTTTGACGGATTTCGTTTCTAAGTGCAGAGATGCCAACTGCTCCGGACACGCGAAAATAATTTAAAAAAATGGTAAATAACAACAAAGTAAATTTTGAAATATGAAGTGGTGAATTATATATGCCTACGAATTATTTAGAAATAGTAGTGGATAAAAATCTACTAAATTGAATTTTTTAAATTAAGAATCACAATTCTTTCATACGTCAAATTGACGTGTGTCCGTAGAGATAGGTATATAAGAACCGTCCGTAAATTTAGTGTTAAATACAATTCATAATGGAGGCGTTGCAGGGTACAGCTAATATGCAATAAAAAAAGCTCATTTTTTTACTCATGACTTCCTTACAAATAAAATTATTTATTCCTCTTTTTTTTTAAGTTCAACTCGTTTAAAGAGATATTTCAAAACGAGTTTATTTTTTAATAGTACTTTTTTTAAGCTTGGCAAAACCGCATTCTAGGCATAATTTTAAATTTATGTTCTTTTGTTTTGTTATACATTCAAATTTAATCTTAATTGTGAATAGTGTAAAAGCTCATTTGAAGATATATTTTTTGATAATTCTTTTTTTTTATATATATATTTGTTTTAGCCCTTGCTTTACCTATATGGGGTTAGAGTAAACACTAGTTTGCAATCATAAACGCAGATAGCTTTTAATTACATATGTTTAGAGAGATCAAACAACTTTTGTAAATTGCAAGCAAAAGTAAAATAAAAGCTTTAATATAAATATATGTACAAAAGTAGTTTACATTATATCATCTATAACACATAAGTCACGCTATATATATACAAAACCGAATCTCGAAGGTGTGTTCAGAACGTTGCACTAGGCGTAATTTTGCATTTCTTTTTCTAGCATTAAAACACCTTTTGCTTGTTCCACACTTATTTTTGGGGCAGAAGGAGATTCGAAAATCATGAACACCCAAGTGAACACAGCAAAGGTGGCAGCATTCGTGGGAAAAGCACGAATTATTGTGGAATTCAGTCCTCTTGTGAACACTTGTAGTCCTTCTTCTTTATAACTCTTTCGCACACAGTCGAATAAATTATTGTACTTTCTCGGTTTACCATCCATTCCATCAACTTGCAAACGAGATTTGATCACATCGAAAGGATATATGACTATCCAAGAAATAACGCCAGCTAACCCGCCAACAGATAGTAAAGATAGAGTATTCCCCTTGGTCACTTTACTAGTTAGGTACTCATAGCTTGAAAAGTATACTCCGAATCCTGGAGCATCTCTGAGAATGGTGCACCACAATCCTCTGTAAAGACCACGAGTGCCTTCCATCTTGAATGCTTTCACTAAGCAATCCACTGGATTTTTATATGTCACACTGTTTCTTGTCCAGTAGGCTGTCCGAACGAGACGGTTCTCTTGTCCCTGAAGTTGCATTCTAGTTTTAGCAAGCTCCATTGGACTTGTCACAAGACTTTGCACAACACCGGCAGTACTTCCAGCCAAAAATTGATTCAAAAGAAGATTATCGGATGTTGAGGCTCTGACTAAGTTTCCATATACTCCAAAAACAATGGCATTGACTGCGGCCAGTCCGGCCATGGGTGAAGACATCCCTTTATATAAACCCTGATACTGTAAGAAAAACCCAGAATTAGCTTTAATCAATGTTTAGTATATTTTCAATATAAAAATTAAACAAATTTAAATGCAGGGAAATTTCATTGCAAAATTAATTTAAATACAGATATACAATCTACATGTCTGTTTTCAACAATTTCATTTCAAGACCTCACATTGACCCCTTTTCGGAATATTTAAAATCTGCGTCTAATCGGAATTTCCCGTGATAAAAGCAGTTCATACAATGTGGGCGAAAAATTTTGACATGGAATTTGCTTCATTGGTGTAAGAGAAGAGATCTTTTCATGTACCTTATTCCTCGGCACTAAACTATATTACTTCGTTTCGCAACTGTTCACGACGCACTTATAGCACGTTGGCGGGGGAGACGGTGGGTCCCCTTCAATTATTAGTAACCGCTAAAACTCCCTCTCAGTATTTCTGAGGAAAAAAATTTTTTTCATGAGTTTCAATTTATCAAAGTTAAAAACAAGAAAATAATTAATACTTTTGCAGATATTAAATAGATTTATAATTTTTTTTTATGTGCGTGAAATTTCGAACATGATTTTGACTGTATATTTTAATTTCATCTCCCTCAAAAATTGGATCCCTGTGATGCCAATATAGGGGAAAGTGGGGTAAGACAAAATACCTAAGATTCGAGGATCTTTTGGAGCTAAACTGTTCGACCTAGACACTGTCAGATTTATTCAAGATATATAATGTTTAGTTGTGTATCATTCCTAAAAAATCCATGATGTAGTACTTTTTTATTGCAAAGAATTTGTAAAATAAAGCGGCTTTACCCCACTAGTGGGGTAAAATCGGATACACACATTATTAATCTATGGGAAATTTAGAAATACTAGAATTTCATTGAATAAGTAGCAGACATTTATATTTTTTTGACTATTTATTTATGACAATGTAATTTAAATGTGATTTAGTCAAAGCCGTATACAAGGAGAGGGGGACAATTATTTTTGTTCCCAGTTTTCCAAACCAGCGGCTTTTAACGATTAGCTCTTCTGTTTGGCATTTTCTAAAATAAAATCAAAATTTAATCCTTGTTTCGTTTTTCTTATTTAAAATTTTAAAACAAATTAAAACTTACATTTTTATTAAGACCAACAACAAAGAGGAAAATCTCCAAAAAAAGAGAGCATATTGTTAAACGCCTTACAAAAAATAGAGTATTTATAATTATTTTGTTTTGAACAGAAGAATTCTGCTAAAAGAGAACCTATTTTTAGCCATTCCTCAAAAATACTAATTATTACAGAAAGGGAAAGAGCAAATTTATTTGTTAATTTCTGAGTAATAAAGATTTCACATTTTTTCTTTTACTCAACGAAAAAAAAAAGTAGTTTATGTATTTGACTTTGGAACAAAGCAAAATGGGACATCGATATGAAGATTTTTCCTAAAATAAATTTTTGAATTCTATTTAAAGTTTTTTTCTTTTTTAACTTTTACATTTGTACTGTGTGTGGACATTTTTTTTGTAAAGCCATGGTCAAACATTTTCGTCAAAAAATTTTCTCAATATCAAATAAGAAAAACAGTTTGCACCGCAATATAATTTTTTATAGTGAAAGGTCCGTAATACAGGAAAAAGAAATTTAGATAAATAGGAGCGTTTTCCGGAAAATAAAACTATTTTGATGTCACAGGATTAGATCAGATTGGGTCTTAACAATGATTATTATGATCTAAATTCAGTGCTCAATATCGAAAACTTTGTAAGAATAAGCTAGTCTCAAACTTTTGTTTTATGCTAATATGTGAATTTGGGAGACTGACACATATTTATATAAAGATATAAAATTTCGTTGGAAAAAACCAGAATTTCTTGCTACATGGTATCCTGTTTGCGGAATTTCGTAAAAATTAGTTTAATGTGGAATTTTGTGAAAATTATTTTTATCAAAAAGTATAGTTCTATTTCCACGGAATACATATTTTTTCAATTACAAAATTTGTGTAAGACGGTGTTTTTCTAAACACCTGTATAATTGCAAGTTTCTAAGTTTTATAGTTTTTGTGGTTATTTCGATTTTTAAATGTATAGACAGAAATTTCGCCGTTTTCAATTAAAATCACGTAATATCATTTTCATAAAAAAAAAAAAATTTAAAAAAAATTCAAATTCGAAAGAAAAAAAAAATTTTCTTGCATGTTTCTCTGTTTTATGACATCTATTAATTAAAGTTGAACTCTTTCTATGCCTAGGTTAATTTGCTAGATTTTGAATAACTCGCTTTTTTGGCAGTCTTGATTTGGCCTCTTTCCATAAGTTTATTACTGTTTGTTCTTGTTGCAAGCTGCGCACCATCTTACGTTAGTGTTAGCACTTTTAACATTGTAAACACAAGTATTGTTAGCATTGTAAACACAAGTAATAAGTAATCAAATACATTGTTTGCAAGAATCTCAAAACACAATGATGATGATGCCAAATGGCTTTAAAGTACAACGGAAACAGTAACCCGAAAATTTAAGCGGTACCGAGCCTGCAGTGTTCCCTAGTGTAGAAAACACCATCAATATATGCGAATATATACATTTTCTCAAACTTTTATGCGTAGAAAATGGGAATACACCTTTAAGAGATGAATGTGTATACTTACGGATTCCTGTTTGATAATAGTTGATATGCAATGGAAAGTTCCTCGATAAATTTTGTTCTTGCTGTCCTGCGTTTGAAGCCGGACCTGAAAAATTTAAACTACCTAGCTGATATAATGAATATTCTATGAGACATACATAATAAATAAATAATAAATAAATAATATATATCAAATAAACATAGATAATAAAGAAAGATATTTCGCTCAATTTTATTTTTATTGCTACTTCCGCCAAGTCGCTCATTTCATCGCGTTCTTAGTAATCGCCTTATGTTTCTTGTTGTTGTTGTTAATTTACGTCGCACTAGAGCTGCACAATGGGCTATTGGCGACGGTCTGGGAAACATCCCGGAGGATGATCCGAAGACATGCCATCACAATTTTGATCCTCTGCGGAGGGGATGGCACCCCCGCTTCGGTAGCCCGACGACCTGCTCGCGAACTTATGTTTCTTGACTTTTAACAAATTGTAATAACAACATTAAAAATTATTCAATAAAAAATATCTTAAATTTTTATTCAGTTACACATATTTTATTATTACACAGATTCAGTTTCTGATTTTATTGCGATAAAATTTAAACCTTATCATTCCGATTAGTTACCATCATTTTTTAACTTGTTTTTAAAATTCTTGTTCTATTTTAGAATACTCTAAAACCTCGTCGCTAATTAGTTTTTGCTGAAGCTATTATTTAGTGACTGTCAAATAAGTTAATTCTTAATATTATTAAGTAGTTTTGAATTGCAGTTTTGCATTTATTATTTAAACTACATACATTGACTGGACACTGCTTCGTATAAAATTTATTATAGAAGTCAGTATAAAATTTAGTTACAGTTTAATAATTGTAAAATGATAGCTAAATATTTAATCATAAAATGTTGCATACACTGCTAGAAATTTCCGGAAAAAAAATGGTTAAATAACAATTTATTTAATTGCCATTTTGCCATATTCAGCCAAAAATGTCAAACAATCATGAAAAAAATGGTATTCAAGCTGATAAATGTGGGAAAAATCGTTTATGGCTGTCTTCGGCTATCTAAATTTTAGCGTCCTATCTAGTCACTCACACGGGGTGAATAATATTCAAAATACCCATCAACGGAGAATTTAAATGTGTTCTGTGCTTTCATGAAATTACAATTGTTGATAAAATTGTAGAAATCGGAATGTTAAACTTAGTTCATATTTTTTGCAGAAATTAAAAGCGTCAAAATGTATCGGATATAAAATTACCTTAACAGTGTCAAATGGGTGTCCAACTAATACTCCAGCACAACCTAAAATGCAAGATGATATTTTACTAAAATATGAAAAAGCAATAACTTTAAAGGGTGACCAAGCTGGTCACCAAGAGTAGAAAGTTTAAATTTAGAGACTATTAAAAATAAATATATAATCGGTTCATATAAGTTAATTTTAGGAAGACATCGCTTTTATTTTGTCTAGTTTTTTTGGTATTTTAAAGAGATTTACATTGTTTTAAGTTATATATAGAAAAAAATTAAATAAAAATGAATCAGTCATGTAACTTGTAAAACAATTATTTATTTACTTTCGACGTAGAATGTTAACAATTTACTATACTTAAACGATTTCTTTCTGAATAATTTTGAAATACATAATAAATACAATTAGATATTAAAAACTACATTGAATTATATAAAGTAGCACACCCTGTCAGATTTCATTCTAGTTCTTTTGAAAATTCATTCCCTATCTAATTCATGAGTCTATTCATGAATTATTTAAATTAGCCTCTGTCTAAAAGTTGGTATTCCTTGAGTCAACATTTAAAATTGCAATGTATTTTGAAAATCTTTTAACCTGTAGAACAACAAATAAAACGATGGAGAGATAAAAGTAAAGCTTTTTTCAGTTTAAAATGTTAGTTTATTTTTGTTATGTTTAGCTAAAAAAGAAAAGTTATTATCATCCTTTTAGTATGCCAAAATTTAACTCTGTAGTTGCATTCCTACGGGCTGTAGAGCAGCCTGCATGGTATTTTATCACTCAAGTTCAACAGTTAATGATTCTCGAACTAATTGTTTGCTTGAATGTTTATTTTTTTATTCCATTTTAATTCCTGTGAACTCTTCTATACAGCTTAGCAGTTTCAAGTTTTATATTTATTTCGCAATAAAGCGAAGTAGAATGTTAAGAGGAACATTTCAAAAAAAGACGGGTCGACTGTTGACAGCTATTTAAATTTTTTTTAATATAGAGAGATGAAAATAATAATCATCATCATCATAGTTGGCCAGACAGCCCAATGTGAGCCAATGCCTTCCTTTGAAGATTTCTCCATGACGATAAAAATAATAACATTATAAAAACTGCATTTATTCTTTGTTGCACTACTTCTCTGCCTTTTTCAAATGGTAATGCCCTATCGGGATGAAGATGCGCTATGTATCTAATTCTTACTTTTCTGATTATCGTAAATTAAGGGAAAATCATAAAGATGACTATAACTCAAAAAGTGATACACATAGAATTTAGTGAAACTGGCACACTATAGTGCACATAATAATGTATAAAATAAAATAAAAAGCATTAACGAGACTACAGTGTTACAAAATCTGTACGAAATGAATAAATCAGATATGTCTATTTGGAATAGCCCGAAATCGGCAAATCAAGTATATAATTTCTCTAAACATTCACAGTGATATCTGACCACCCTTAGTATGCATTTTTAGAATTCTTGTAAGAAAAAAAAAGAAGAAGAAAAATATACCCACGTATAGTAAAGCGAGGAAAAACAAAAAATGCTACCGAAATCTGGTCAATCACAATTGAGGAAGGAGGTTGCATAAAACTAGAACAACAAATTTCTTTGAATATTAGAGAAGACATAAATGGTTGGAAACGAACACTTCCAAATTTCAAATGGCAATCAAATGGGTTTAGCCTTCCTCAATTGAAACCTCCTGCCTAAATTGCGATTGACAAGATTACGATGGCGTTTATTTGTTTTCTCTTTTTCCTTGTTTTATTATTAATTTATGGTCCCTACTGTGAGTGCATAATTTATTTCATTTTTGGCAAGTATCCTAACAATATATATGTAAGGCTATTTATTTTGAACACATGAGGTCTATACATAAAAATGTCTTCGAGGATGCTGATTTAAGTTTTTTTTTTCCATTTTTAAATTTATTTAAAGGACACAAGAGCAAACAAGCGTTTCGATTCGAACCAAACTGTTTTCCATTCATTAGTTAGAAAATTCAACAAATTCCTCAACTGTTCTTGATTATGAACATAAAAAATATTATGACGAAATGATAAGTTTTTTTTTAGTTACCTGCTGAAAGAGTTAAAGCTATGAGCCAAATATTTCTTTTTTTTTCCTTAAACAAATGTTAAGCATGTTTCTAAATTATCAAAAATCAATCAGATAAACAGATTGGGAAAGGAGAATCATGACATATTAGATAAGCTAAATAAAAAAAAAAATTCGAAAATAAGCTAAATATTTCTCCACACACGTCAATCCTATAAACTAATTTAGTTGCTCCGAAACTGTTAATAGTATCCTGGAGTTAAATTTTAATTACGTCACCCCACCCCCCTCGTGTTAACCTCTGAAGACTCATAAAAATCTCTATTTAAATCACAAACTCATCATTTAAGAATATTTCTCATTCGATCTTATTTATTTAAATGTAGTTTTTGAAACTTAGCTGCCGAATTTTAATTTTTTAAAATTTTAAGCATTTTTTAAAAACTTTTTAAACTTTATCACATTTATTACAGCAGCTTTAAAGTTTTTATTTAAGTATCAAGTATTTATATTAAGTTTCAGTATTTACTTTTTGACACGTGAATGAATGTTAAATATTTACGCATTCAATAAGGTTCGGGCTTTCGTGTTTGGCTAATTGTAAGATAAGATAGCTAAAAGACAATCATTAAGAATCACTTTAACTGATAATAATATGTATAGTTAATGATAAACCAGAGTTTTCGTACTTCTGAATTGTGGGAAAAATTCTTTTCAATTTGTTATCTTATCTTGGTAAAATAAAATCTATACTACAGGCTTTTAAATTACGACTTGTTTTCTTATAAAAATTATTTTTAAAAGTTTCCAACAAAAAACTGGAATTTATTGCTTATTTTAAATTACAATTAACAATAAACTGTTAGTAACAATATTATATTTATTAATACTTTTCTTTCATTATTTAAGTACATGCATTAGTATGATTTACTAGAAGTATATACCTATTTTTAATATTCCAAGTGGAAAAACGTTGTTTTAAACATTTTTCCCCATTATAATCTTCTGTAAAAATTATTTATTGAAATACTATGATCAAAAATCATTATTGTCAATATGATTAATGAGTTTATAATTTTAGTAATATTAAACGTACTTCGCTTATTTTTAGCTTATTAGTTACATGACTCATAATTAAAATATTTTTTTTTCTAAATTGATTTGTAATACAAGATTTAGACTTCATTCACGAGATTAGACTTCATATCTGTACAAAATCTGTTTAAAATTTAAGGTTGATTCAACCACTATATATTTGTTTATTATAGAATTTCTTTGATTGTAATATATGTTTAGCTCATTCTGTATTTTTTATTTAAAAAACATTTTATGTTACTATAAATTTTTATATTTTAAATTTTTTTCCTTATATTTCTTTTATTATTTTTACAATTCACTCTGTAAAATATTTTTTCTTATTATAACTGTTGTTACTAAAAAGTGAATGAAAGATATTTTGCACGTCTTTTTTTAAAAAGTTGCAGCAAAACTTACAAAATGAGTTAATTTAAATAAAATAGTATTGATTGACATATATATTGAATGAATTCTATTTCCTTTCATATTCAAGATAATTCAAATTTATTCGATTAAAATTTATAAGTAAATAATTAATATTTTGAAATCTTATGCGAATTAAGTAATTTTCGAAATGTTGATCAAAATTTTAATATTGAATCATAACTTTTTTTAACTATTAACAATGACACCTAGCTTTGTGTATTCAAAAAAAAATTTGAAATAAATATAGATTTTTTTAACAAAAATTTTTTTATAATAAATTAAAATATACTGTGTTTCGTGAGGACCGCCCTTTAGTTCTTTGAGAATCTCTTATGTTTCACCCTTTTATATCTTTTGTATTGCTCATAATTTAGAGCATAATTCCAAAAAAAAAAATTAAGTGTTCACTATTAAATTCACAATGCTTATAAATAATATGAACAAAAAATTTTTTTATTCATTGTGCATTCACAGTTGAAACTAACGGCAGATCACTTAACAGTTAACCACCCTCATCCCCATCAAATAAGCCATTTCTGATAATTGTACTTAATCTAGATATTAATTAAATTAATCTAAAAGATTATGTTTAGAGTACGTGCGTTATTAATTTTAGACAATTAAATTTTATCTCTCAAGTTTATTTATCAATTGAGTTTATTCATGAACGGTTATTCAGTACAAGTTATTCAGATCAAGTTATTCAAAACAAGTTATTCGGGAACCAAAGTTGATAACTGATTATCCACATAAAGTGACATATAATATAAAAAGAACTAAGCATTCGCATTTTATAGCATTCACACAACAAGCAGGTAAAATTAATCTGCGAATTTTTACCTGATGCAAAGTAAATGAAACTTACCTCCAAGACATCCAGCATAAAAGTCCAGGGCCATGTTGATACTTTTGATTCCCTCGATTTAAAATAATAATAATAATCACCTACGATTTGACAATTCGAGCATAAAAATGATGAGTCCGTTAGAGCTTCCAATCCAGCATCCGCACAAACTGTTGAAACACACACTCATATACAGATACATCGAGGAATTTTTACAAAGAGTTGAAGAACTGTCCAGAACTGAAAAGGAACGTGAAGAACATCAAGCGAGTAGTAAGTGAGATTGTGAAAAACTTGAGAATATAAATCGCGATTATGGATTGTCCACGAGTGGAGCACGTGTTTCTTTGAGATAAACAGAAAACTGTTCCCAAATTTGCGGTCAATAGGCTGACCATGAAATTTGTTCTCTATCACAACATCTGATATTATATAGTTAATGCAAAGGAATGAAATTGATAACAGCTACATCAACTTCCTTGATAAAATGTTTTTTTTTTCATATAACACTTACGTAATTAAAATGTAATACAGCAAAAAATACAAGAGTAACATGAAATATAGAGTCAAATTGTGTTTAGATTATTTTCCTGAAAAAAGGATATCTAAACAACAATTCAGCTGGTCTAGGAAGTAAGGGGGAAACACAATGCTAACCATGTTGCCACAATCATGTCGTTGATTATGAACCTACATGATCCCCATAACAAGCGGGAATGCTTTTTACTAAATAACAATTTACGCTATAGGTCCCAGAAATAATAATTCCTGCATTTCTTTGAAAATTCATTACTTAAATTTAACTAAAAACATAAGAGCAGGCAAATCTGGTAAGTTTGTGTTATTTAACTGGGTTTTTTTTATCCAAAATATTTATTTTTTTAATATTAAAAATGTCTTGCTCCATAATTGGCAGAATCTTGAAATCTAAATTTTGACAAGCTAGAGCATTCAAATGTTTACTGGAGCCAGATTACCATGTAAGTTTTAATCATTTCTTACACTTTACTAGCAGAATTTATCATAATTTTTATCCTAAAATATAGAATGTCTTCTCTCAAAACTCTACTAAATATAGAATGTCTTCTCTCACTTTCTGAATGACTAGAAAGCGTAACTTCCCTGATAAAGCTATATGCCTAATTGAGAAAAGCAAATTTTATTTTATTTTTCAGACCTCTACGAGTAGAGTTTATCATCATGTTATCGCCTCAGTAAGTTTATCATCTATCGCAATTTCGACCGTTTTACTCAAATTTTAAACGGAACTTTTTTGTCATACATGCTACAACTGATTCCTAAAATTTTCATGCAAAATTTAACCAAAATATTTTTTATTACCATTTAAAATTTCTTTCCCTTCCCGACGAAACCAAAATAATTGTCTCGAAACTTGGGGAAAAAAGTAATTAAAGGAAATAAAACTTCAAATCACTTTTGTTTCTTCGTATTCACGTCTGACAAGTCTTGAAAATGGGCACCTGTTTTTAAGTGCTTGAAACATGTCTGTTGTTACCCATTTGTATATTTTTGAGGCGAATGAAGCTTTTAATCTAGTAAAATAGTATGTCTTTCCCGATAATAATACTTCATGTATTTTACTCAATGTTTTTGCCTGAAAGATAAATTTCTTTTAGCATAATTTTTATACGTTTTTAAATTTTCAAAATAATTTCAGTGTTTTTATTTCATAAACTGTGTTATAATTGTGCTTGATATTAAGTTTTATTTCGTTATCCATGGATGTATTTTTAACAAAGATTTACTAAATATTTATATCAATGAATAATTATATTGATGATTAACGGTTTTCTTTATTTTCATGTGGGTTTTACGTTTTTGGAAATAGTTTCTAAAATTTACTACAAGTTATTTTTGAATTTTTTTTCTCTCTTCATTCAATAATATGCATTATTAAAATTGAGATTATATATTATAAAAATTGAGAAGTTTATTTCACCTTCAAAAGTATTTTTGATATTTATAAATATGTTATAGCATTTTTAAATAATATATTCAGAGGCAAAAATTTATTATTATTAAAATAGTTAAAATTAAATTTTTGTTACGCAAGTATTGCGGTTAAAGTTATAAAGTAGTTATCAATTGAAATATTGGGACTCTCTTTCTCTTAAATTTAATATTTTATTATTGTTATTATTTTTAGATTTTGATATCCTTTAAAGAGTAGTAAAAATCGCAAAATAATTATGAATAAGGGTGATTCTCACGAAACATGACAATTCACTGTCCCTTACTCCAAGATCTAGTGCTATAATTCTAAAAGAAATTTTTTTTAATTAAAATTAATAAATAGCATTGCTGTTAGCATTTTAAAATGACTTTGCACTAGCATTGACTGTTTTGTATACTTAAAAATTTAATTGAATATCAAAATGTCATTTTCCTGGCATGTCCCAAACAATACTTCCAATAATAACTAACTTCAAAACTTCCTATACATTTTTCAAAATCTAATTGTCTTTTATCCTATCCTGTGTAAGCATTTCTAGAATGTACGCAGAGGGTATTGTATAATTTTTTCTGTCAATAATTTGTTTGTCCCACGAAAATCTGTCATTTTCCTGGCTACTTTTATTTAGTGATTTATAACCAAATAGATTGCTCCAAGAATCAATATCTTATGTTAATAGATTGATTAGATACCCTCCTATATGAACATGTCTTGTTGCATGAATAAAGAACCAATTTTCTGGCTCAAAATCTATTTCAAAAATTTTTTCAAGGGGAGTAGGTTTTTATGCTGTCATTTTCCTGGCTTCTTAAAATCATTAATAACAAAAACTACATAGATTTATCTGAGTCATTTTAAGAAATACTGTTGTTTTCTGCAGAATTTAAACGTCTTCGGCCAAAATATTAAATTAAAATAAAGTTATATGCTATAAAATGGCGAATTTGTCATTATCCTGGCTGTTATTTTCCTAGCTTATGAATGCCAGGGCATTGAAGTGTTACCAGAAATTCTTTTTAACTGCTAATACTGCAAAAAGGGAAAGCAAATATTAACCTAATACCAAGTNAAAATTCCTTTCACTTCCCGACGAAACCAAAATAATTGTCTCGAAACTTGGGAAAAAAGTAATTAAAGGAAATAAAACTTTTACTTCAAATCACTTTTGTTTCCTCTTATTCACGTCTGACGAGTCTAGAAAATGGGCACCTGTTTTTAAGCGCTTGAAACTTGTCTGTTGTTATCCATTTGTATATTTTTGAGGCGAATGAAGTTTTTAATCTAGTAAAATAGTATGCCTTTCAGGATAATAATACTTCATGTATTTTACTCAATGCTTTTGGATGAAAGATTAATTTCTTTTAGCATAATTTTTGTACGTTTTTAAATTTTCAAAATAATTTCAGTGTTTTTATTTCATAAACAGTGTTGCAATTGTGCTTAATAATCAGTTTTATTTCGTTATTCATATATATATTTTTAACAAAGATTTACTAAATATTTATATCAATGAATAATTATATTGATGATTAACGGTTTTATTTATTTTCATATGGGCTTTACTTTTTTGGAAATAGTTTCTAATATTTACTACAAGTTATTTTTGAATTTTTTTTCTCTCTTCATTCAAAAATATACATTATTAAAATTGAGATAATATGTTGTAATAATTAGAAGTTTTTGCACCTTCAAAAGTATTTTTGATGCTTATAAATATGTTATAGCATTATTAAATAATATATTCAAAGGCAAAAATTTATTATAATTAAAATAGTTGAAATAAAATTTTCGTTACGCAAGTATTGCGGTTAAGGTTATAAAGTAGTTAGCAATTGAAATATTGGAATTCTTTTTCTCTTAAAATCTATATTATGATTGTTATTATTTTTAGATTTTGATATCTTAAGTAAAAATCACAAAATAATTATGAATAACACTGGTTAGGATTTAACCCTAATTGAGAAAATACTAGAGCGTGAGAAAATTGTGATTGATAATAGAAATTCTGAAAATGAAATTCAATACTAATTTTAAAAAACTTAAATGAAGATAAATTGCGAAGAAAAAAAATGTACATATTGAAGCTTGCACCTGACATCGGTGTTCAGTCTAAGATTTCAATCGGTATGAGGGTAGAAAATTTAAAAAAATTCAAAAGTTCATTCAGAGTTCAGTATTAAAACTGTATGTAAATAACTGCTTAAATTGGGTAAATCTTTTGGTCAATCTTTGACGATTTTTGGTAAACCTTTTAGTAAATTTTTTGATATCTTCTGTCAAATAATAGAAGGTTTTTAGGAACATTATTTCATCCCACCGGCTTCAGTCATTTCCAAAATTTAAAATTTTTTTTTCAAAATAAAGATTTTTAACTTATATTTCACAGAAAAAGAGAGTTGGATAGAAGAAATAAATTTAAGCAATATCATTGACGGACTAGATTGATGGGTCAATTAAGAACCTTTTTGGTTTTAAAAGAAACCCCAATTAAATAGCTTGTTTCTAAAATAGTTTATGATGTCCTAACCTCGAAAGCCTAGAAAAAAAATTATTCGGGTTACTTCTGGCACTGTCACCAGTTGACTACCCTATGAAATAATTGCAGTAGATAGCTTAGGTGATTTTAATTACTATAATTCTACTAATAAATATTTAACTTTAATAATCGATCATCTCACTCTATATATATGGCCTTTTGCATCAAAATATATAATAACGGAAATTTACATTAACTTTTTTTTTTAAATTCAAACTCCAAAAAGAATTCTGATATCAAAGCTCAGACTTTATTTCTTCTCATTCGAAAAACATTCTTAAACATTACAAAATTTAAAAAATTATTAACTGCAGCCCATGGATCTGAAAATAATGGAAAAGTTGAACAATTTGGACAAACTATTGCAACTCGTTTACATTATTACAAAATACGTTACATACATTACAAAATACAAAATTAATGATTCTTATGGAAAAAAAATTCCTCAGCCTAAATAATTAAAAGGAAGTAACTGAATAATATAGTTCGATTCCAAACTCAGTAACTAAATTTCCATCAATTTATTTAATGTTTGGCACTCTCCCATTTGCACACCTTTCATCAAAAGAAATTTATCCACTAAAGGAAGAAGCTAGAAAAATTGCTGTTTATAAAACAAAACAACCATGAGAAAAAAATATCTACCATGATTCACTCATATCGAAATTTCTCCCAACGATATTGTAATGTATGAAGATTTTTAAATACCCTAATACTAGAAAACTATCCCTACTTTTACTGGACCTTTCATCATTTTTGAAAAAATTTCTGATGTTAATTATGAAATAAATAAAAAAATATTCTTAATTAAGAAAAATACAGAAATAGTTCATGTATCGAAATTGTGAAGGTACCACCCACCGGAGAAACTAAAATTATTTCAAGAATAAAAATTAATGTTAAC